TCGGCAGCCGCAGCCGCCGGCCCCTTCGTCGGATCTCCTGCGGCGTCGGGCGCAAACGGTGCCCTGGGAGGCCAGATGCCGACGGCGGCCAATGTTTTCACCACGGCGGAGGGACTTTTCTCGACGCTACCGTTCCCAGTGTACAGCAACGGGATCCACACCACACAGACAACTCTGGAGAGGAAGGAGGATTAACGCGAAATGTTGAAGACCGATTTACTGTGTTTCTGGAATCAACGACTGTGTCAAAGTAAAGACTGCTCACTAGTAAAGACAACAAAAGACTTTTCTATCTTTTATTAACACGGCACTGTGTTTTTCCAGAGGGGAGAAAGGACAGGGAAGGATGACAAATGTACTCTAGCACTTTGAATCTGAGCAACTGAGCTTGTGTAATAGACATGAATGACCCTCAGACATGTCCCTCTTTTCTATCTTTTTCTCTCTCCTCCTCCTCCTCATCCTCTCCTCCTCTCCTCCTCCTCCTCCTCTCTCAGTCTCTCTTTGCTCCTGTTTCTTGCGATCAGCAAGGTTTTTCCTCGTGAACAGACGAACAAAAAGACGATTCTTTATTGTAAAGAATTCCTTTTTTGCCTACAGAGAATTCATATGACCTAAGGACTCCGCTGGAGCCTGACGGGATAATTTTTATTATTTGTCTTGTTTGTGTTGCGTCTTTATGAAGATGCTGATTGTTTGTATTTAAAGGAGGACGGTGCAGGGATTTGTAACGGACAGAAACTCTTTGTGGCGCTCCCTCCTCCGTTTGTTTCTTGATGTGATCAAGACATGAGAAGTTTTTAAACCCAGAAGAGGGAGCTTTCCTGCGCCTGGAAAAGGTCTCAGAGATAATAATCTTTTGAAAAAAGGTTTTTGAGGACGTTTCTCGATTGAGGGAATAGTTTAGAGAATTAATGCTGTTTCTTTTCTTTTTTTCTTTCATTTCTTCCGTTTTTTTTTATAAAATACTCTAGCTCAGACTTAACTTACAAATCAAGCATTATGAAGAAAAACAAAAAAAAGCAATTTCAGCCGGGTAATGACCTGTGAAATATCGAATGTTACTACTTCCTCTATATCCCAGGAGTTTACCTACAGGTCTCGCACCAAACATAACCTCCTCTGACATCTCTACACATCTCAATCTGTCGTTTCCTCTCTCTCTCTCTCTCTCTCTCTCTTTCTGTCTAACTGATCTTCAGTTTTTCTGTCTTGCATTTCTACCTGTCGATCTACAGATTCATGGTGCTACCGACCGTCCAGTAACCCTGATTCAGCTGGCTGATGTGGGTGCTGTAAACGACCCACAGCTCGTTGACAGACTGATCGTGTTTTTTGACTTTTTTTCTTTTCGGAGGGGGAACAGTTTAGCGTTTATTTTTTCTCATCTGACCTTCAGGAACGTCAGAAACACAGCAGGAACCTTAAAACCTCGAAATCCACCACGTCACCTCCGTGTGTCCCTCTTTAGTCCTTTCAAAAAAGGAGCTCAATCTGATTGGCTAATGAGGAGCAGCTCTGCCCGGCGACACGGAGGTGATTGGTTGGATTTTAGGTTGCATAGATTTTTGTTTCATTGTTTAGTTTTTCCGACTTTAATCACTTTTAATTCTCAGTCAAACTGAGGCTAATATGCTCGCGATGCTAACTTGAAAAATGAATGTTGAAAACCTCGACCGGCTCCTGTTTGAACCTGTTTCTTTCTTATTTTTCCTTGTCTTTGTTTATCGTCCTCCTCCTCTTCTTCTTCTTCTCCTTCTTCTTTTCCGTCTTCTTCCTAAACCAGAATCACCTCCACGAGATTTTCCTAACGATCCACTCTCTTCCATCTCATCGCCGGACCCTGTGATTAAAAACCACATATCAACAAGGAGATTGTAATAAAGACATTGCATTTTTCAATCAATCAAACTCTCAAAACAATCAATCCAATAACTACAAAAAATATGAATTTTTTGAGGAAGAGAAAAAAGTCACATTCCTTTAAACGATGTTGTCTTTGTCGTTGTTCTTCTGTTCTGTGTTTTTTCTTCCCCAGCCTCCGTTGCCAAAAAAAAAAAAAAAAGAAAAAAAAAGATTTCTCACGTTTGGTGTTTTGAAGCACTGTGATTCTCGTTCATTTGTAATTTTTTTTTCTTCTACTTTTTTTGGTAAAAAGAGAAAAAAAAAAGATGAGAACAAAGTAGTATTTAAAATGGTTAAAAAAAACTGTCACAACATCCATCCAACTTTTTGAAGTTGACAGCCCCGTCTTTACCATCCCGTCATCCTTATTACCCAGTGTGATTAAGCCGTAAAAACGTGTTTCCGATGTGTTTAGTGTCACTGGCTGTCAAAAAGTCTTTCATGGCGACTTCTCTCTCTGTGTGTGTTGACTATATGCAGTATATACTGAGCTACTGTAGCTGTTTTTGTCCTTTGTCTTCTCTGTGCTCTCTCTAGTGTGGGGGAGGGGACGTGGGCGGGGCGTATCCGGAGAGAGGGGTGTGGCCTATTTTTTAAAAAAACGGTGACGCTCCTCTCCACACGCCCCGCCTCCCTCCCTCTCTCCCTCTATCTGCAGTCTTAGTGAAACCAGTGGAGGTTCGTGGAATTTCGTGTTCGGTGGCCTTTGCAAAAAACAACAAAAAAAAGTTTGTAGAGTCCACCTTTTTTTCCGCTGCTTCCTTTTCGTCTTTGTAAAACCTTTTTCCGTTCGTTTTCTAATCCTTCTCTCTTTCTCTCTGCTATTGCTTTTTGCTGTTGTGTAGTCTTATACAAACCTCTTTATCTTGCTGTCCTTTCTCTCAGAGATGAAAAAGATTCTTTAACTAGCTCAAAGGTTTATGGAGCCATGTTTTAGCCGCTAAGGAATTCTGGGAAACGCGGTTTCCAGCTTTTGCATATGAATGAACTAATAAATATTTACACCACATAGAATTCAATTACGATGAGGAAAAAGCCTAAAGTAGCATCTTTTTTTTGTTGTTGTTTTAGAAGTAGTCCTGGAAAAACCACAAAAGCCTCAGTTGCGAAACATTTCCCAGAGTCCCTTGGGGCTTCCTGTGTGCATTGGGTGTATTTCATTGGTTCCCACCAATCTTGTTGACTTCCTGCGCAAACTTCTCTCAAACAAAGTTACACAAGTGGTTCAAGGGGGGAGAAAAATCTATTTCAGGACACGTAATAAAAACGGTTTTAAAGATTTCTTAAGAAATTAAAAGAAGAAAAAAATATTTCGCACTATAAATCTATTTTTATAGGTGTTTTGGAAAAACTGAACTGCATGTTTAGTAAGTTCGTCTGATGCGTTTCACGTGAACAATCCCTCGTTTTCGTTCCGTTAGTTTTTGGTCCTGCGTTTTTGTGTTTTTTTACGCGTGTCGAGCCCAAACGGGGACGTGATGGAGGCCTGCTGGAAGAATAAAGTCTGTACTCTCAAACCCACCCAGGCCTCTATTCCCCCTCCCCCACATATCAGGAAAAACAATCTGTAGCGTCTGTGCTTTCTGTGACGAACACTGTCTCACTGTTACTACGACGACCACGATACAAAACATGCAGGTGAGGAAGTAAAACAGCCGCTTTGTTTATTTTTTGTCTCCACTCCAGGGAAAACGTGATCGGGGCCGCTCCTGCTGTCGGTTGAATGTTAAATTAAAGGAGCATTTTCTTCTTCGCTCCTTCGGATTTTAGCGTTTTCTACTTTTGCGTGAAAATAGGGGGCGGGGCACAAAGGAAAGGCAGGTTCCCCGTTGAGTAAAGAAGAGGGGGGATGGGCTACGGGTGGGAGGAGGGGGCACATAACTCAGACGAAACCAGGAAATACACCCACATGTAACAAAAACCAAACAGCCGGTCCAAGCTGTTTCAATGTTTTTTCTGTGTTTTATGTCGAAAAATGAAAACTTTGCTGGTGATTTTAAAAACGTAAAAACCTTAATCACAGCTGCTGTCAAAAATACATAGTGTTTAAGAATTACAAATATTGAAAAATCACTTCATTTACCTGTGAAGAAACTGTGTCTGTGTTTTTAACTATTTCTTGTACAATTATACAGATTCTTTTATGAGGAACTTGGTGCCAAGTAGCTGAAATACGGGAGAGAGGGAATCTCTTATTATCAATGTTAACAGTGTTATAAAATTCTAAATACAAACAAATTAAAATATTAAAAAAGAGAAAACTATGGTACATTTCTATTTTTTATTTTCCTTTATTTTCCTCACAGACGAGGGAAAAACACGACTAACTGATGCTAACTTTGAGTGCCTGGCTTATTTTTTATTATTATTATTATTATTATTATTATTATTATTTTGAAGAGACATCTTTTTGAGTTAATTTTCCATGAATAATGCTGCAAACCTGAATATGTACATACTTCATTTTTATAGCAATGGTTCTTTTATAAGTTTACTAGGTTCTCATCCGCTCAGTGGAACATCTTTGTCTTTCTGTAACCCGGTTTTGACCATCTTACAGGTGCCATATTCATAATAAAAATTTCTCTCAAATTTCTTACCAGATTGCATCATTTCTTCTGTTTGACACATTCATCCCGCTCCCCGCCCAAAGACGCTAACGCTGCCTCATCTCAGTCTCAGGCCGCTTCCTTCTTTTCTTCTTCTTTCTGTTTTCTTTCTTTTGTTGTTCCTGCATCCAAAAAACTCCAACAGGAAGTCGACTGGCGCCCTCTAGGGACAGTTTTACAGTTTTAAAGGGCTGTTTTTGAAGGTTTGTTTGGGACCGGGCACTACTGTTAGACAGTCGAAGATCTAAATTTGAAATTTAGTTGAAGTCGAGGGTCCTTTGAGGCAAATGTGCCAGGTCCAAGTATGCCTGAGTTTGTCAAACGGACGGAATCGCTGCCTTGGACTGTTTCAGTCTGCAGCAGTAAAACAGATGAACACCCAACCATCAAACTTCATGTTTTTGAGGCCTAAATGACTCGTAAAAACTCACTTCAGTCATGAAACAGGCTGTAAAGTGTGAACATTGAACTGCTATATTTTCAGATCTTTGAGACCTAAATGAGTTTAGGAAAAGTGGCTTTGGATTGTGTCAGGCTGTAACGCCTGATATGCCTTTTATATACTTTTATATTTTCATATCTTTGGGGCCTTAACGATTGCTTGAATTGCACTATTGGATCGTTTCAGCCTGCAGCAGTAAAACAGGCTGTAATGTCTGTATTTTGGTCTTTTGATGCAGATGTGCCCTCTGAAAATACTCACATAAAGCCTGACCGTATATTTGTTTACTTTAATAACTGCAGTTTGAACCTTTGGGGTCATTTAATATGGTGATTATTACTTAAAGGAAATGATAAAGAAACGATCATAAATGTTCTTCCTTGAGCTGCGGCACCCCGCTGTAGTCTGTAATGGACTGGCCTGAGGTCTCTCTACAAACAAGCGTCTGCTGGAAGAGAGTAGGTGAGTTGTGTTTAGTCTCTTTGCTAAAGAAATGAGTCAAAGTTAAAAAGATGTTTGGTGTCTAGTACTATGTCTGTGACCCTATATGTACTAACCTCAGTAGAACATGGTGTAGTTCCGTTCAGTAACAGAACCTCATTGGAAAATTAGCTCATTTAACTTTACTGTGCTCTTGTTCAAATATATTAACTCAACAGCACATAAATCCATACCTGTTAACAAAATCATGATTTTATTGATAATTCGGCTCAATAAAAACACCTTTACCTTTTCATTTTACTACTGTAGAAGTTTATTGGTCCTTTGCGGCACTTGTGAGGTGTGAATGGAGGCTGTAACACCTGAGACAGGTAAGGGTTCGTAGATGAAGCTGAGAGGATTTAGATCCGGACCAAGAAGGTCTCTTCTCCTTCAGACCTCCTCTTCCTGACCTCTCTCTCAAAGAGGCTCGTGAAGGTGTTTTCACCAAGAGTCCCGGACCTCCTGGAGACCCAGAGACGGTCCATCAGGTGGGTTTATCAGCATAACTTTAACGTCAGAGGTGGTGAAATCACGGCTGTTATATTGTATTAAATCTGAATGATGTCCTACAGGTTTCCAGAGGAGACCTGGGAGGATCGTAACCAACCCCCCACCCTAAATGAAGACCTCAAAGAAACCCTGAAGGTCCTTCATCAGTCTGTCCTGACTGGACACGCCCCCAAAGAGTTCAGCTGTACGCTCCGCCTCCCCCGACTCATTTTCAGGTTCGATTTCACACCAGCTTTTATCAAACATTACTGAAGGACGGCTGTGTGATTCTCTCTTGTACCCAGTCCTCTTTTACTTTTATTACCCTCCTCCTCTTCCTCCTCCTCCTCCTCCTCCTCCTCCTCCTCTGCAGTAATAAGAGCAGAGAGGTCAGTCAGTCGACCCTCCGAGGCCGCCCAGCCAACTTTAAATATTTCACACTATTTTAAATGAGCACACATGAATCATAGATCACAGGCAGCGCTCTGTGTGTGTGTGTGTGTGTGTGTGTGTGTGTGTGTGTGTGTGTGTGTGTGTGTGTGTGTGTGTGTGTGTAGGTGCTCGGACCTGAAGCTCCTTCTAATAACCTCTGGCTGTCCGTCTCAGCGAGGAGGTCTGATGTGGAATTTAGATCGGACAGCGTCGGGCGTAACGAGGAGCCTTTCATCATCGGCGGTGATGGACGGATGATGAAACAAAGCGTTAAAGATGAAAACTCGACGTTTTTTTATTTTTTGAATCTCTCTGCACTTTCACAGGAGCTCATCTCCCTAATTCCCAACATGCACCGGGAGTCAAAACATCACAAAAATCTGTAAAACGAGTTTGGAGACACGCCGTCGCTCCTGGAGACATGACGTGACGTTTAGGTTCCCGAAGAGAAGTCGGCCGTTTAATCATCGCTCTGGGACTCTGTGCTGCTTGAAAGAGAATTTATATTGAATTTATTCTGTTTATCCTGGACCAGCCATAACTCTGTGTTTCAAGTCGTGCGTTGGGATCACTTCAGGTGTCTGGAGTATAAAAATCAGACCTTCGACCAGATCTGTGGAGGTTCTCTATAGGCGACAGAAAGTTACGGCCATCTGTGAAAATCTGATTCGTCTTAAGGCGTCAAAAAATATGAAATGAAACAATATAATGATAGTAATACAGAGAGCCACGCGCTCAACCAAAACGCCACTCTATAGCCACAAATAATGCTCAGAACAGCACCTAACTTCATCAACAGGACATATAGGGTCACAGACATAGTACTATATTCAGAGTTGTTCTAACTCCTAAGAAAACAAACTTAAGCGGGGGCATTTCTCCACTTCTGTAGTCTATAAGCTGGGCCAATAGACTTCTACTGTAGTAAAATGAAAAGGTAAAGGTGTTTTTATTGAGCCGAATTATCAATAAAATCATGATTTTGTTAACAGGTATGGATTTATGTGCTGTCGAGTTAATGTATTTGAACAAGAGCACAGTAAAGTTAAATCAGCTAATTTTCCAATGAGGTTCTGTTACTGAACTGAACTACACCGTATTCTACTGAGGTTAGTACATATAGGGTCACAGACATAGTACTAGACACCAAACATCTTTTTAACTTTGACTCATTTCTTTAACAAAGAGACTAAACACAACTCACCTACTCTCTTCCAGCAGACGCTTGTTTGTAGAGAGACCTCAGGCCAGTCCATTACGGACTACAGCGGGGTGACGCAGCTCAAGGAAGAACATTTATGATCATTTCTACATGGAAATACAATCAGACCAAGACGCTAAGACAGAAGAACTACCGCGTCTGTAAAATGATTAATATGGGGATTATTACTTAAAGGAAATGATAAAGAAATGGGGGGAATTGAACCAACAACCTTCCAGTAATAGGACAACCGCTTTACCTCCTGAGCTACTGCCACCCCATAGTACATAGTCATGTTTGATGTAATTTACTGGGTTAGTGTTTTAGTGTTTTAAACTGTTTATAGAGGGTCCTGAGAGAGACGTAGGTGTAAATGTGTTTGTAATCGTCACATTATTGTTAAATATCCTGTTTTTTCAATGGGGTTTGGTGCATCAAAATCTCTTATCTGAGTTTTCCACTCAACATTTGTGTTGCTGAACCTTAGCGGTGGATCATCTTCTCATCTGTGAGCTCCTCTGGAAAAACACTCCCACGTCCGATGGAACTGCAGAGACATCTAGAGGCCAAACTGTGGAACTGCAGGTGAGTTTAAACCACAGAAGTCTGCATCTTTGAACCTGACAGGTGTTTTCTTCACTTAGAGGATAGTTTACAGTTAAATTATTATAATTATTATGAGTTTTCATGATTTCAGGACAGGAAATAAAGTTTTTTTAATTGTGATGTCTGTAAATATGTTGTGACAGTCTCAGAGGACCGACTGTCCTCCGCTTTCTAACAGTCAAACCCAGTTTCAGAGCGTCCCCCGGTTCAGATTTAAAGTCTGTTTTTCTTTCAGGACTCAATAACGTCTCCAAAGAGCTGTTTGAACCGAGCTTCAATTATTCATCGTCTCTCGCACGCCGGCGCTGTGACAGCCGCTTCGCACGCCGCCCGACAAATCTGCTGCATCAGTGGAAACGCTCTCCTCTTTGTCCTTCCTCCATGGCGGAGGACGTGGCGTTCACAGAACGCTGGCAGCCATCTTTAAAGACAGGAACAAAAGAGTAAAAGCAGCTTTGAGAGTGAAACTTTTGCATTTTGTGTAAATGTTTTATAAAGAAAAGTCTTGTAAAATGTTTTTGAACTTTGTCCATCTCTGTTTTTAAAATCAAGTTATTTTCTGTTTTTTGTTCTGTGTGTTTGTATTTTCTCCTTTTTTTGAAGCTTTTGTTTTCTAAAATGTTTTTTTATGTTTTTCGAATTCACTAAATCTTGTTTGTGTTATACAGTTTTTTAGGGGGGTGCATTTTGTGATATTTTTGCTTCTTAGATATTTTTTCTTTTGTTAAGTTTTATTTTGGGTAATTTTATTATTCTTTTTCAGAATATTTTTTTGTATTATTAATATTTTGTTTTGTAAAATGTTTTGTGTGTATTCAGTAAAGTTTACTTATTTTGATGGGATACTTTTTGGAATTTTGTGAATTTTTGATGTAACACTGTAAAAGTTTGTGTGTGTTTCAGGGATTTCTTCTGTTTTTATAAAAATCTTTGAGTTTTTTTTAAATTTAGAAATAGTTTTAGCAGTCAGTGGATTTTTGTTTGTTTATTTTTTTTGTTTAGGACCTCCGTAGAAACAGGCTGTAACAGCTGCAACATGATCACTTTGATTTTCCTATTTTTACAACACTTCTGTAAAAGTTGTTTTTTTTGTCTGATTTATCTTTTTTTTTTTTTGCTTGTTGAGTGCTTTTGGTGATTGCAGATCTTTTTTCATTCTGTTAATATTTTAGTATTTGACCTCCAGGGCCACCGTAGAAACTGTAACAGCTGCAGCACAATTATCCTACTGTTACAATGATGTTCTTTTTTTTTTTTTTTTTTTTTTTTTTTACAGGTTAAGTGTTTTATCTCTTCGTTTTTTGTATTTGACCTTCAGGGCCACTGTAGGAACATGCTGTAATTGCTGCAACATGATTTTTCTTTAATTAATTGAATTATGGGTGATGACAAACATCTGATCATAAACATAACTTATAATTTTCTTCCTTAAAGTAGAAGATTTTTATTGTATTTTTTCAAGCAAGTTCATGAAAAAGCCACTTCTATACATCGGTATGGGCAGGATATAACTTCTTTGTTGTAAATATCAGAAAAATCGATTTTGAGGGAGATCAAATTCATTTATTAGTAGAGAGAAAGATTTTAGGGTCCCACCTGCAAAGAGATTTTGAATTTTAAAAATGCCAACATCTGAACAGGACAATGAGAAATCTGGATTATATTTGATAGGTGTGAGAACAGAATACTGAGTCACAATCCCAAAGTGCATTCATAGACCACAAGTTTTTTTTAATTTCCTGTGAAAGTGAAAAAGCATTATTTTTGAATGGAATGTTGGCTAGAGCCTCACATCCAGTGTTTTCAAGATCGATGAATGTAGGATTAGGATCATTTTTCCATATTTTTCAATTAATCCATCCTGTAAAGTGAGTTATTTTAGTGGAAGTACATTATATTAGACAGAGCTAATTACAGCATGTTCCTATCTCTACTGGTAGCTGCAATTTCTCCAGTTTAAGTCTTGGGCGTTTACTTTTCCACACAAATTTACGTATAATAACATGTAAAGATTTCAATTCTTGCTCATGATAATTTTAAAGTTTTAAACTTCTACAAACAAACAAACAAAAATAAAAACCTGAAGAACTTTTAACAAACTTTTGACTCTTTAAATTCATGTTTCTGTGAGTTTTTGTACCTTTTAGGTCTCTGAAGCGTCTCTTAACCTCAGCACGCTCCTTAGAGTCAAAATACCAAACTATGATGGCGTACCTGAAAACAAATAAACAAACAAACATAAGTTTCTGAAAGACTGAGAAATATCTGCTTTAAATCCCTACATTAAAAATAAGAGACATAAATATAAACCATAAATAAAAGCCCCTTTGGCTTCTCATTGCACATCCTCACCAGCAGAGGGCGCCAAATCCCTGTTTTTAGAGCTTCTGTCCTCACAGTTTGATTTTTGAGGACTCTTAAACACCTCATTTATTTCTCATTACCTCAATCAAGCTCCTCTGATAACTAGGGCTGCAAGATTAATCTATTTGAAATCCTAATCATATTATTATATTATGATGTTAAAAAAATTTTTTTAAATAGCCAAAAAAAAATTTCTCTCTATCGTGGCTCATGCCTCCAGGCTACCATAGGCTCCCCCTTCCTGTAAGAGCGCTCCTCAGTTCCGACACACACCAGTGTAAGAAAAGGCATTTGCAGAAGAAGGTGATAATTTTTTGGCTATATCTTTTTTGTGAAATTTTTTTCATACTAAAAAAATCATTTTTTTTATAGTTAAATGTGACATTCTGACCTTACTGTACTATAACATTTTTAGCATACAATTTCATGACGTTTTTTATATCAAAATGTGACATTTTAATCATACTTTATATACTATGCAATTTTACCATACAATACTATGAAATTTTTTTCATACTGAAATATTAAAATTTTTTCCATAGCACAATGTGAAATAAGTATCATACTATACTATGACATTTTTTATCAAACTATACTATGACATTTTTTTCATGCCGAAATATGTGAAATTTTTATCATACTATACTATGACATTTTTATCATACTATACTATGAAATTATTTAATCCCAAACTATGATTTTGTTTCATACCAAATTGTGAAATTTTTATCATACTATACTATGACATTTTTATCATACTATACTGACATTTCTTTCATCCCAAAATATTAAAAAAAATTCCATTGCAAAATGTGAATTTTTTATCAAACTATTATGACATTTTTTATCATACTATACAATGACATTTTTTTCATCCCAAAATATAATTTTTTTTCATACCAAAATGTGAAATTTTTATCATACTATACTATGACATTTTTATCATACTATACTATGAAATTATTTAATCCCAAACAATGATTTGTTTTCTAAACCAAAATGTGAAATTTTTTATCATACTATACTATGACATTTTTATCATACTATACTATGACATTTTTATCCTACTATACTATGACATTTTTATCATACTATACTATGACATTTTTTATCATACTATACAATGACATTTTTTTCATCCAAAATATGATAAAATTTCCATTGCAAAATGTGAAATTTTTATCATACTATACTATGACATTTTTAATCCCAAACTATGATTTTTTTAACCAAAATGTGAAATTTTTGTCATACTATACTATGACATTTTTTATCATACTATACTATGACATTTCTTTCATCCCAAAAATTAAAAAAAAAAATTCCATTGCAAAATGTGAAATTTTTATCATACTATACTATTACCTTTTTTTTATCATACTATACTATGACATTTTTTAATCCTAAGCTATGATTTTTTTTCATACCAAAATGTGAAATTTTTATGATACTATACTATGACATTGTTTTCATCCCAAAATATGATTTTTCTTCATACCAAAATATGATTTTTTTATACCAAAATGTGAAATTTTTGTCATACTATAACATGACATTGTTTTCATCCTAAAATATGATTTTTTTTTCATACCAAAATGTGAAATTTTTATCATACTATACTGTGACATTTTTATCATACTATACTATGACCTTTTTTATCATACTATACTAAGACATTTCTTTCATTCCAAAAATTAAACAAAAAATTTCATTGCAAAATGTGAAATTTTTATCATACTATACTATGACCTTTTTTTTATCATACTATACTATGACCTTTTTTTTTATCATACTATACTATGACATTTCTTAATCCCAAACTATGATTTTTTTTCATACCAAAATGTGAAATTTTTATCATACTATACTATAACATTTTTATCATACTATATTATGATTTTTTTTCAGCCCAAAATATGATTTTTTTTTCATACTTAAAAATGTGAAATTTTTGTCATACTATACTATGACATTTTTTCATACCAAAATGTGAAATTTTTATCATACTATACTATGACATTGTTTTCATCCCAAAATTTGATTTTTTTTTTCATACCAAAATGTGAAATTTTTGTCATACTATACTATGACCTTTTTTATCATACTATACTATGACATTTCTTTCATCCCAAAAATTTAAAAAAAAAATTCCATTGCAAAATGTGAAATTTTTATCATACTATACTATGACCTTTTTTTTATCATACTATACTATGACATTTTTTAATCCCAAACTATGATTTTTTTTCATACCAAAATGTGAAATTTTTATCATACTATACTATGACATTGTTATCATACTATATTATGACATTTTTTCATCCCAAAATAGGATTTTTTTTTTCATACCAAAATGTGAAATTTTTGTCATACTATACTATGACATTTTTTTTGTTCCAAAATGAAAACATTTTTTTACACCAAAATGTGAAATTTTTATCATACTATACTATGACATTTCGTTCATCCCAAAAATTAAAAAAAAAAATTCCATTGCAAAATGTGAAATTTTCGTCATACTATACTATGACCTTTTTTATCATACTATACTATGACATTTTTTAATCCCAAACTATGATTTTCTTTTCATCCCAAAATTTGTTTTTTTTTCATACCAAAATGTGAAATTTTTATCGTACTATACTATGACATTTTTTTATCATACTATACTGACATTTTTTAATCCTAAACTATGATTTTTTTTTCATAACAAAATGTGAAATTTTTATCATACTATACTATAGCATTTTTATCATACTATATTATGAATTTTTTTCAGCCCCAAATATGATTTTTTTTTATACTTAAAAATGTGAAACTTTTGTCATACTATACTATGACATTTTTTCATACCAAAATGTGAAGTTTTTATCCTACTATACTATGATATTGTTTTCATCCCAAAGTTTGTTTTTTTATCATACCAAAATGTGAAATTTTTATCATACTATACTGTGACCTTTTTTATCATACTATACTATGACATTTCTTTCATCCCAAAAATTAAAAAAAAAAATTCCATTGCAAAATGTGAAATTTTTATCATACTATACTATGACCTTTTCTATCATACTATACTGTCATTTTTTAATCCCAAACTATGATTTTTTTTCATACCAAAATGTGAAATTTTTATCATACTATACTATGACATTGTTATCATACTATATTATGACATTTTTTCATCCCAAAATAGGATTTTTTTTTTCATACCAAAATGTGAAATTTTTGTCATACTATACTATGACATTTTTTTTGTTCCAAAATGAAAACATTTTTTTACACCAAAATGTGAAATTTTTATCATACTATACTATGACATTTCGTTCATCCCAAAAATTAAAAAAAAAAATTCCATTGCAAAATGTGAAATTTTTGTCATACTATACTATGACATTTTTTTTATCATACTATACTGACATTTTTTAATCCCAAACTATGATTTTTTTTCATACCAAAATGTGAAATTTTTATCATACTATACTATGACCTTTTTTATCATACTATACTAAGACAATTCTTTCATCCCAAAAATTTTAAAAAAAATTTCCATTGCCAAATGTGAAATTTTTATCATACTATACTATGACCTTTTTTTTATCATACTATACTATGACATTTTTTAATCCCAAACTATGATTTTTTTTTCATACCAAAATGTGAAATTTTTGTCATACTATACTATGACATTTTTTTCGTTCCAAAATGAAAACATTTTTTTACACCAAAATGTGAAATTTTTGTCATACTATACTATGACATTGTTTTCATCCCAAAATTTGATTTTTTTTTCATACCAAAATGTGAATTTTTTATCATACTATACTATGACATTTCTTTCATCCCAAAATTTAAAAAAAAATTCCATTGCAAAATGTGAAATTTTTATCATACTATACCATGACCTTTTTTTTATCATACTATACTATGACATTTTTTAATCCCAAACTATTTTTTTCTTTTCATCCCAAAATTTGATTTCTTTTCATACCAAAATGTGAAATTTTTATCATACTATACTATGACCTTTTTTATCATACTATATTATGACATTTCTTTCATCCCAAAAATTAAAAAAAAAATTCCATTGCTAAAGTGAAATTTTTATCATACTATACTATGACCTTTTCTATCATACTATACTATGACATTTTTTAATCCCAAACTATGATTTTCTTTTCATACCAAAATGTGAAATTTTTATCATACTATACTATGACATTTTTTATCATACTATACTATGACATTTTTTAATCCCAAAATATGATTTTTTTTTCATACCAAAATGTGAAATTTTTGTCATACTATACTATGACATTTTTTTTGTTCCAAAATGAAAACATTTTTTTACACCAAAATGTGAAATTTTTATCATACTATACTATGAAATTTCGTTCATCCCAAAAATTAAAAAAAAAAATTCCATTGCAAAATGTGAAATTTTTGTCATACTATACTATGACATTTTTTATCATACTATACTGACATTTTTTAATCCCAAACTATGATTTTCTTTTCATCCCAAAATTTGTTTATTTTCATACCAAAATGTGAAATTTTTATCATACTATACTATGACCTTTTTATCATACTATATTAAGACATTTCTTTCATCCCAAAAATTAAAAAAAAATTCCATTGCAAAATGTGAAATTTTTATCATACTATACTATGACATTTTTTTATCATACTATACTGACATTTTTTAATCCTAAACTATGATTTTTTTTCATACCAAAATGTGAAATTTTTATCATACTATACTATGACCTTTTTTTATCACACTATACTATGACATTTCTTTCATCCCAAAAATTAAAAAAAAAATTCCATTGCAAAAGTGAAATTTTTATCATATTATACTATGACCTTTTTTTATCATACTATACTATGACATTTTTTAATCCCAAACTATGATTTTTTTTTCATACCAAAATGTGAAATTTTTATCATACTATACTATGACATTGTTATCATACTATATTATGACATTTTTTCATCCCAAAATAGGATTTTTTTTTTCATACCAAAATGTGAAATTTTTGTCATACTATACTATGACATTTTTTTTGTTCCAAAATGAAAACATTTTTTTACACCAAAATGTGAAATTTTTATCATACTATACTATGAAATTTCGTTCATCCCAAAAATTAAAAAAAAAATTCCATTGCAAAATGTGAAATTTTTGTCATACTATACTATGACCTTTTTTATCATACTATACTGACATTTTTTAATCCCAAACTATGATTTTCTTTTCATCCCAAAATTTGTTTTTTTTTCATACCAAAATGTGAAATTTTTATCATACTATACTATGACCTTTTTATCATACTATATTAAGACATTTCTTTCATCCCAAAAATTTGAAAAAAATTCCATTGCAAAATGTGAAATTTTTATCATACTATACTATGACATTTTTTTTATCATACTATACTGACATTTTTTAATCCTAAACTATGATTTTTTTTTTCATACCAAAATGTGAAATTTTTATCATACTATACTATGACCTTTTTTATCACACTATAGTATGACATTTCTTTCATCCCAAAAATTTAAAAAAAAAAAATTCCATTGCAAAAGTGAAATTTTTATCATATTATACTATGACCTTTTTTATCATACTATACTATGACATTTTTTAATCCCAAACTATGATTTTTTTTCATACCAAAATGTGAAATTTTTGTCATACTATACTATGACATTTTTTTCGTTCCAAAATGAAAACATTTTTTTACACCAAAATGTGAAATTTTTGTCATACTATACTATGACATTGTTTTCATCCCAAAATTTGATTTTTTTTTTCATACCAAAATGTGAATTTTTTATCATACTATACTATGACATTTCTTTCATCCCAAAATTAAAAAAAAATTCCATTGCAAAATGTGAAATTTTTATCATACTATACCATGACCTTTTTTTATCATACTATACTATGACATTTTTTAATCCCAAACTATGATTTTCTTTTCATCCCAAAATTTGATTTCTTTTCATACCAAAATGTGAAATTTTTATCATACTATACTATGACCTTTTTTATCATACTATATTATGACATTTCTTTCATCCCAAAAATTTAAAAAAAAAATTCCATTGCTAAAGTGAAATTTTTATCATACTATACTATGACCTTTTTTTATCATACTATACTATGACATTTTTTAATCGCAAACAATGATTTTTTTTTCATACCAAAATGTGAAATTTTTATCATACTATACTATGACCTTTTTTTTATCATACTATACTATGACATTTTTTCATCCCAAAATAAGATTTTTTTTTTCATACCAAAATGTGACATTTTTATCATACTATACTATGACATTTTTTTCGTTCCAAAAATGAAAACATTTTTTTTACACCAAAATGCAAAATTTTTGTCATACTATACTATGACATTTTTTTATACAAAAATGTTCTATTTTTATTTTGCTATACTATGCCATTTTATTTGTTTCAAACTATATTATGTTTTATAATGTAAAATGTGACATTTTCAACATCCTATACAATGACAATTTTTTATACTGTAAGTCCAAGAACCAAAGGCTCCTTTTAGCAGGAGTTTTATGACCAGGAAGACTCAGCAGACACAGTTTGACTTTAATCATCTGTTTTATTACTGGAACATACAGTAGATATGACAGCTGGAACATGTTGGTTAATGTACTTTAAAACTTTTTATACTTTTCCTATGAGCAGTAAAGTTTCTTTAAAGTTTCTGTTTGAATATAAAATCTCCCACGTGTCTGTTTTCAGTTCCGTCCACAGGTTTGGAAAGACATTAAACACACACAGAGTACAGCATGAAACAACCCAAACATGTTCAAAGTCTTTCTGTCTGTAAACCTCAAACTCCTTCTGCCATGTCATGTCCATCTCCAAAGTGAGCTGAAGGCAAAGCTTAAAAGGTGCAGTCCGCTCTTTCTCGTCTCAGTAGGGCTCTCAGAAGTCAGCAGAGAGAAGATCACGATCATCGTGTCGAGCAGGAAAAGTCCCAAGCAGCTGAAGGTCCCCTGAACTCATCACGAGTCAGGCGACAGCAGTGTAGACGGGAGGTTCTTACAGATCCGAACCTCCTTCAAACTGTTTTTTTGTCTTTTCTGTCAGCTGTTAAGAAGCTCTGACGGTGAGGAGGAGTCCCGCCGTCCTCACATGCACATCAGCCAATCAAAAACCGGGTGATGATTCCTCCTGTGGATCAGCTGGAGGTGCCGTCCTCCTGCAGAGTCGGGGCTGAAACACAAAACAGACAAACACATGAATAAACCCGTGAAACTGGAGTCAAAGTTCAGTGATATTCTGTGTTATCGGGTTTTAAAACACATAAACTAACAAAAGTGAAGGTTTCATTCTTTCTCATGTTGATTATAAAGTTTTAAACTTCTTTTAATAAACTTTTGACCCTTTAAATTCATGTTTCTGTGAGTTTCTGTACCTCTTAGGACTTGGAAGCGCCTCTTTGCCTCGGCGCGCTCCTTAGAGTCAAAATACCAAACTGTGATGGCGTACCTGAAAACAAACAAACAAACAAACAAACATGAAGTCATTTCCTCCAACACAAGCGTCACATCATAGATTTTCTTATTTTTATAGTTTTTTTTCAGGACTAAAGTCACGCGGCTCGTTTACCTGGTAGCGTAGGAGGGCTGCACCTCGTGTGGGTTTCTGCGGTCGGACCAGAAGAACAGCAGCCTGTCGAAGAGCGGCTCGATATCGACTTCGTAGGATTTCCCCTCTGGAAAGATTCGGAGGATCCCGCCGTGCTCCTGATGGACAAAAACAACAACACGAAGATCAGCTGATGGGAACGCCACAACGAGACAAGCTTCGGACAAATCGGACCACATCTGATTGGACGTACAGTTGTGTATCATCGGCGTAAAGTGATAATATCACCAAAAGAAAAAAAAGGGGAGGACCCAGACCTGAGCCCTGTGGTACCCCACGAGGTATATTTGAGTCACAATCACCACAGATGAAACTACACCTGCTGCTGACACAGCCAAACAGTTTTCAGGTAAGACCTGAACTAGTTCAAGGCCACACTGCTTAGCCCCGCCCACTTCTCCAGGTCTCGATAAATAAACTGCGATCCGTTAAAAAAGCGGTACGAACGAATTAAAAAGTCTTAAAAAGTTCTGTAAAAAGTGGGACTTTTTTTGTTTTTGTTATCTCTTAAATATTCATCAAAACTCACGATATCAAAAGTGTATGACCATATAAGGAGGTTACACTTCCATATATGGTCAAAAAGTCCGAGAGGACAAAGAGTGACGAGCGGAGGTCCCTGAACGTACCTGACGGTTCCAGTTCTTGTTGAGGTAGTAGATGCAGGTGATGCAGCGTCCATCGAAGTTCGGGTTGTCCACGTGTTTGATGTAACCCGCCCCGTTTCCAGGGTAACACGCCACCATGGCCTGAGAACAGAGAAAGAGAGAGACGGAGGTTTTAAGGTGACGAAGGTGAAGGAAGAGATGAACACATGATGAAACATGAGGCTGACAGAGGTATGCTGACAGACGAGATTACACCAACTTCCTGTGTGTCTGCTTTTGTGTACGTGTGTGTGTGTGCACGTGTGTGTGTGTGTGTGGGAGGATTATTTGCTAATATTTCTGGTAAATATCAGGGGTGTGTTGTGGTTTTGTGTCTACGTCTTCAGCTGCACGTCCACAGATCATACGTGTGTGTGTGTGTGTGTGTGCGTGTGTGTGTGTGTGTGTGTGTGTGTAAAGTAGTACAACAGGTCCTGATGGTTGTGTGTATTCAGACTGTTAACAGGAGGATCAGCTGCTTTTATAGGGATTGTGGTTTTTCTCTGCAGAGTTCCCTCACAGGTCCACAGAGATCTCCTCGAACCGCGTCCTAACGGACTTCCTGTGGCGTTTACGGCCTCGTTTGGAATCTGAATTCACTCGGTTTAGATTTGAGACTCCTAAAACAAACACGAGTTGTTCGTGTGGCTTTCCAAACTTCACGTGACGCTCAAACACTTCAGCGTCCGTCGTACAGCGCCCGCGGGGAACACCCCCGACCCCGCCCCCACCCCCCTCGTGACCCCAGCAGGAAGCAGCGGCGGACAATCAGACATGAGTTTCTGTGTCAAAGTCAACAAAAGAGCCAAACTGTGAGTTTCCTTCCAGCAACAATGAGCAGCTGATCCTCGGGGAGGTTATTCCAGGACGTTTGGCGGCTGCAGCCTCAGATTATCCCGCTGTTTCAGGGACGACAGAGTCTCTCTGTGGGCTCAGTTTTCACGCTGCGATTGCTCTGTTAGGAAGCTCAGTTTTTGACTCTTTCAGGCTCAGATTATTATTAAAAGTTTAAAGAAACTCCTCCTTTAACTTCTTTAACTTCTTTAACTCGAGCTCATGGAGGTCACCAAACGTCACTGAAAAGGAGTTCATTCAAAATAAACTTTAAACTGATTATTTGTGACAAAAACTCAAACGGAATATCTCAGAGGTCGACCAGAAATCTTCTTCTCTGCTGGTTGACTTTATCTAATCCTCAGAGATTATTCATCAGTCTTTGCAGGACGATGCACTCTGCAGAAATTTATCATCAAATCAGCTGTTTAGACGCCAAAATATAAAATATATACATTTCCAGTTCTGCAAACCACCGCAGGTCAATAAAAATCCTTTAGTTCCTGTTAAAAAGTTTAAAAAATAACTCCTGATTGAGACTTTAAAGTCAAAAAGGATCTAAATTAGTCTGTTTACAGTCCTGTGATCAGTCTCTTCATGTTAAACTCTTCAGGTCGATTTTTATCTTAAAGTTTGAGACAAAAACACTTAAAAATACTTGATTTGGTCCAAATTACAAACTTCTGTTTAAAGGTGTGGCACAAAGTTTTTAAGAGTCTATAAAGAAACGCACATCTTTATGTCTGTTGTCAAAGACTCTTATTTTGAAGGTGAACCGTGTTAAAAAACACCTGAACATATATGACGGCTGAAAATCAACATGGAAGATCGTATCAGGAGGAGAGAATGAGCTCCAGGCCGACTCACGTCAGGCTCCAGGGTGACGTTCGTGGGCTCGCCGGCTAACGTCAAAGAAGTGGGCAAACCCTGCAGGACTGTTTACACACTGCCACTGAGGCATTCACACACACACACACACATCATATAGTGCAGATGTGGTGCTGTGATATTATGTTCAGGGATACAGGGGGGTGGGGAGGATGTGTGTGGGAAAAAATGCAGGGAACAAAAACGCCTCCAGGACGCCGTTTGAATTTTATTTTATCTTTCTGCTAAAGTGGAGGGAGCCGGAGGGCGGGGAGGACGGAGGGATCAGGGGTGTGTGCGGTGACGTCTGAGCTGCTGTTTGGCAGGTTTCCAGCCTGATGATGGTTTAATAACAGAGCTACGTGTGGAGCGTGGAGAAGACTGTTGGGCCGTTTCTGCCCCGGGACAAACACGGGGGGTCGGGACGTTAACCGGGATTCATCCTAATTTATGGTCCATAACTTTGATTTATAGTTCAGAGAATAAAACCAGATAAAATCAGGATAATAAGTCAGAAATCAGATCTACCAGATCCAGAAATCTTCTCATCTCTTACTGTTAAGTTCACATATGTGCAACATATGTAAAAACCTATCTGTGCAAAAAAAGAGAGAAATTAATCTTAAAGATAATAAATCACTTTCCAAATTTTCTCTGTATTGTAATTTTCTAATTATAAGAGCTTTTTTGTTTCTGAAGAAACAGTTTTTAAGATAAAAATTAATCTACAAACATTATCTTTACATGCATTAAGTTGTGTTTCAAACAAGTCTGCTAGAAAGTACGTCGATCGATGTAAACACCGAGTTATCCAGGTGTGTCTGACTATCTAGCGCACTGTTTCATTCATACTAACGTGTCTTAAAAGTCAAATCGTCAGTTGGACCGAGGTAAATAACAGATTATTTTGAGCACATTAGACTTTAAAAAACGACGTTTCCACAAAATTTATGGAAAAAAACAACAAAAAAAAAAACATGCATTAAAAAAACACGTTAAAAGTTTAGAAATTTAGAAAACTAGCCGGGAACAAGTAGCGTTAGGCGCGATGCAAATGGCAAAAATGGGCCAAAAACAGCGGAATAACTCTTTAACTGTGCGTCTGAGAAAAAACAGTCCAGGCGCGCAAAATCAAAGATCTCATTACGGTACACACGCCTGTAAAATTTCAGGCAGATCGGAAAAAGTCGACAATGTTTGTTCTCTTTTTTTTTTTTTTGTCACTTTCAAACATTACGATTTTCGCCTGCAAATTTTCGTGAGTTTTTGAGGCCATTCAGGGGGTCAAATTTCAACAATAATGAAAATAATAATAATAATCGAGAAACTCTTGGATTACATTAGGGCTTCACCGCAGAACTGCGCTCTGGTTTCCCCTCTAGACCATCATGTACCCACACTGCAGACTTGATCCTGGTCTCTAGAGTCTCTAAAAGTACGGGAGTCATCAGACCCCTCTCTTTTCCAATCAGGGTCCAAACACACTTTCTCCACTTTTAAGACTAAATTTAAAAACGCTTTGTTAAAACTTAAGAGTTACAGGTTTAGACCGGTCCTGGTTCTGTTCTTTGGGTTTAGACCGGTCCTGGTTCTGCTGCCGTTGACGACTCGTTGATTATCTACTTTTACAAAACCTGGAAGAGGACAAAAGCTTCTCTTCCTGCCTTTTGAAACTCTTGTTTGTGTGTGTGTGTGTGTGTGTGTTTCAGTGTGTGTGTGTGTGTGTGTGTGTGTGTGTGTGTGTGTGTGTGTGCGTGTGTGTGTGTGCGTGTGGGCGTACTCGGTACACTGTAATTGGGTCATCTCGTGTTTTTGAGAATGTCCATTTGATAAGAAAAGGCGTGTGTGATGAGCCCTCACTGTACACAGCTACACGTGCAGGAAAGGCAGACATGCTGGGAGGGTGTGTGTGTGTGTGTGTGTGTGTGTGTGTGTGTGTGTGTGTGTGTGTGTGTGTTTGCCTATTCCCCATTGTGACTGGTTTGTTTTCTAAGGAAGTTCCATCTGATAACAAAGACAGACGCTTGAGATGAGGGCTCGCTGTACACCGCCGCACGTGCAGATGGGGATGACATGCTGGAAATATGTGTGTGTGTGTGTGTGTGTGTGTGTGTACGTGTGTTTCTGAAGAAGGGAAGAGGATACTGTAAATCAGTGTTTGTGTGTACGTGTGTGAATGAGGCAGCGAATAATTGAGTGAGTGTTTGTGTGTGTGTGTACGTGAGAAAGTCCACTGATACATCGACACGCCTCCACGACCAACAAGAGACCGCCCCTAAAAAACCCTCGACCAATGAGAGAGCAGGGTTTTTAATATGATGCTAAAGAAAAGGAAATGTAGATCAAAACTACATAAATATATGTGTTATATATACATATGTATGTTAATAACTGACTAATTCAGTACGAGTAGGATAATGTTTTATTTTAATTTAAGCTGTTTTAGATCAGGTTATTTTTCTTAAATGGATTAAATATGATATAGAGAGATATAGAGAGTATAGAGGAAGGACGTGGAAAAGGTGGAGGGCATAGAAATGTCAGACGTGACAGGTGTGGAAACAGGTGTGTGTGTTAGCGAATATAAAGAGAGATGAAAACTGTAGAGAATGGAAACTAAAGAGAGAGTTTAAAAAGTAGAAATAGAGAGTATAGAGAGTAAGGAGTAGCAAATGTCGAGAGTGTATGGAGAAGTAACTGAAAATGTTAATAAAGTAGTTAATAAAATAAAAAGTGTAGAAAGAAGCAGGTAAAGAAACTGAAGATGGAGAGAGAGAGAGACTTTATTGACGGACTCAAAGTCCATAAACGAAACAATAAATACAAGTACAAACAGAAACAAACACAACACTTCATTAAAAAGAAAAGATAGAAGGAGGTGAAGAGAGAGAGTGGGAATTTTATCTTTATTTAACCAGATAGAAAACCAATTTAGATCAAGATCTCACACGCATGTGTCGAGAGTCGATGTGTGGAGAGAGAAGAGAGAGCAGCATGAGTAAAGAGAGGTTTCAGTCTCATTAAAGTGACTGTGGAGATCAGCAAGAGTAGATCAGGTAGAGAGTCCAGAGAGAGTGAGTGACTTATTTGTTTATTTTATTTTATTTTATTGCTTTAGTCCAATTTATTTTTTAATTTATTTTTTAAATTTTTATTTATATATTTATTTTAATTTATTTATTTATTTTTATTTATTATTTATCATTTATTTATTTTTATTTATTTATTTCATTATTTATTTTATTTTATTGCTTTAGTCCATCAGCTTTAAGTATTTTTAAATTTATTTATTATTTATTTTTTAAAATTGTATTTATATATTTATTTATTTTCATTTATTTATTATTTATCATTAATTTATTTTAATTAATTAATTTTATTTTTTATCTTATTTTTTATTTTTTATCTCCAGTGTTTCCCAAAGGTAACTCTTTCCTCACGTAATGTCTCGGTGTCAGGCCATGTCTCTTTTACAGTGTATCTTAAATTCTCACTCTGTGTGCGCTTGTGTGTTTGTGTGTGTATGTGTGGGTGTGCGAGGGAGGGTGTGTGTCCGTGTGTGTGGGTGGGAGGTTCTGGTTTTATTGTTATTAATTGTTGTTTTTAGCCTCTGAGAGAAACCTTGAACTACATGTTCTTGTCTAAAAAGTTCCATAAAAATATAAAATAAAGTTGAATTTGAGACTCAGAGTGTAAAGAGTGAACATAAACATGATGTCGCAGTGTGTGGTTCACTCCAGAGATGAGCCGGTGTGAGGGGTCAGTCGGTATCGTAGTTCAGGTTAAGTCTTACACGATACGGGAAATGGACCCAAACTTTAACCCACAAAAACTAAACAATAGGCTGAGAGGGGAAAAAACACACTTCTGGGATGAGGACATGCAGAGGACACCCAGAGGACTTGAGCTAGTACAGGACATTTCCTGCCCTTCCTGGAGCATGTCCTGGTTCCTGAGACTTTGGCTCGGAGCCCAGACCGGGTCTCTGGACCGCAGCCAAGAGGACCGATACGTAGAAACACGGCGATGACACCTCTGCTGTTTCTACATGATAGTGTTTAAGAGAGTGGGGGGATTCGGTGGGTTTGTGACCACAGAGTGACCTGTATCAGGAAACACACTACTTCTACTGACCTGCAGCGTTTGCACCACCAGGGGGCAGCGTGAGAGGGGACTAAAGAGGAGGAAGCTTTCAGTCTTTTTGTGCCAATTAATCAGTAAAAAAATAACTTTTCATGTGAAATAATTAAAGTTTTCAGTCATACAAAAATAAAGAAAATTAAAGGTGTAACTTTTGTAAACAACCAACAGGAGGCGTTTCTGAAAACACCGAGATAGTAAACACAGAGACGTTGTTGTGTTTCAGGGTATCCCCCAGCGTGACAGTCCTGAGTCATCTTATAGTTTAAAAACAGAAAGTGGAAAAAACCCAGAACCTTAAGAGACGTTTATAAACAGTCTCTTTATTTACAGTCACACAGAAAATCATAAAATATAGACATTTAAGAGCTGAGACCTGAAAATATTTGACATTTCTGCTTAGGAAATAACTTTGTAAATCTGTGTTGATTGGTAGAATTTTAATCCCAGAAGCAGCTGATCGTTTCGGCTCTTTGTTTACATCTTAAATCCTTTTTTTTTTTATTAAAAAAAATAAAATCAGTGTTTAAAACTTGGAGTTAAGGCTGTCATTTCTCCAAAACTGATCGTGTTTAAAGACTTTTTCATAAATTACTTTCTTGTCATGTGTTTTATTTACAGAGGGTCTTTCCTGTTGATTTTCTATCAAGTATTGTTTTGGATGAATTAGAAAAAAAAGTGCTTATTTTAATGATTTTGACTTCTTTATAAAAACACAGAAACAGTTTGTATTCAGTTTTAGAAACTTAAAAATGTCACTCTTCACCTCTTAAACTCAATTTTAAATACTTAAGTTTGTCTGTATTTCATATTTTAGCTTTTACTTGAGTTCATAATTTCAATTCTTCCATTTCCTGATTCATATTTTCGTCTTTTCTTGTTAAATTTCCCTCCGATCTTTCCGATCACGCATCCGATCACTTAAAGTAAAAATCCTGACACTCTCGTGTTTTTAACCACCTGTTGTCCTCTCATCCCTCCCGAATCTTCCTCTACCCCCAGACATGAACTTGACCCAGATCTGGCTCTCTTACCTTGGACCTCTCCCTGATGGCTTTGCCCCCGAGCCGGCTGGCGCACACGGAGATGATCTTATCGATCACATTCAGCAGGTATCCGATCGCCTCGCAGCCTCGCTCCGTCCCGCTCACCCACGCGATTTTGTCCCCACGGATGCTCCTCCGGTGGATGCCCGGCACGGAGCCTGCCAGGCGGCCGTCCTGCAGCGCCCCGGAGAGGTGCATGTCCTTTACCTGGTCCCGCACCGCGTCCCCGGCCACGTTGCCGAGGAGACCGTCAACGTGGTAGAAACCCCGGGACAGCAGGGCAGGGACGACGTGCTCCAGAGCCAAACGCTCCAGGTCCAAATCCGGCACCAGTTCGATTAGAGGCATTTTCACAGACTGTGGGGTGTCAGAGGAGACTTGAGTGAGTTTGTGAGACTCGGACGGAAATAAAGTTCAGATTTGAGTTTTAGCTCAAACTCAGAGTCCGGGTCTCTGTCAGGGTCTGACTGACAGCTGGACTCTGAATGAGAGGCTTTAATGAACTGATCCCGTGTGTCATCGAGTTCTTATTAAGGCTCAAAACTCCCCCAAGTCAGCAAGTATGCAAATCAATCACTTCCGTTTAGAGGTTTCAAAATAAGAGCTCAGCCTCCGGACAAACCTTAAAGAGAAACTAAGAGAGAAAAGAACAGAATTCAGGATTAATTTATGATTTATTATCATTTATTTAAAGTCAAAAATAAACTCAGAGTCCTTATAGATGTTTTACCGAAATGAGCAGAGTCCTGAGGAAAAAGAAAGAACAAACCTGAGGACAGAAAGTGAAAGAAATAAGGACAAAATATAATTATAGGAATAGACTCAACATACCAGATTGGATGAACTGTACTGGATTGTTGGTGTTGACTTGCATCCTACTGTATAAACTGTCTTACAGAGGATAGTGTGGTATCATGAGGTCTATTTAGGTATAGGTATATTTAGGTATATTTAGTGAAAAGTCACCCAATTTAGCGGAAGGCAACCGCAAGCAGCCTGTCCGTCGCTCCGATAAATGCGTCAGTCGTCACGACTACAGTAAACATAATGGACGAGGGAGGTCGCGCAAACTGCTGTATGAGCATTTATTGTTCTTGTTATTTCCAGTGTTTGTTCTGGTTCCTCTTTAGTCTGACTGAAACTGAATTTGATGTGAATTGTTTCCAGGTCGGTTTGGAAAAGTAAAAAAAACTGAAGGACCACAGTCGTGTTGTTGTAATCCTAATAAAGAGTCTCAAAACCATCAAGCAGAAGTTTTTCCTCATGTTGATGAAAATAAACTCTAGAGATGAAGGTTTCTACGAGTGAGGACTGAACTAAGCATCAGGGAAACAGCGGTAATCTGAGGGCTGTCCTCTCTGTTGTAAACCTGGTTGGATTAGGATTCAAAAATGGATATGAAGATTAATCTGATGTAGTTTCAGAGTTAAAATAATCGCTGTCTGTGGTTCTATATGGGCTCTGTAAAAAATATTGACAAATAAAAGCTTAAAGCAAAGTGTTGGAGGAAAAAAAACTAAATTAGTTCATTTTTGGGAACCATGAAAATGTGGAATTATGATCGATGAACTGAACTCGTACATTTTAAAATGTGTGAACTGAACTTTGAACTAGTTCAGGTAGAAAATGAACTTTACCAACACTGTAAATAACTGATTCATTGGGAAAAAAAAACTAGGTCAAGTTTTATTTTGGAGGTACCCTGCGCTACTTCCGGTGTTGCGGTCGTGTCTTTACAGTGAAGACAGAACGAGTGCAACGTGAGGGAACAGAGAGACGTGCTGGATGTGATGTCCACGATGAGAGGAGGAGGAGGAGGAGGAGGGTCCCTGAACTCCTCTTTCTCTTCCTCTTAAACATTTTATTTTATCACGTTTTGTTCTCAGAAATCATCAGATTTCTGTTTTTAATCTTTAAATGTGCAGTGATAAAAAAAAGTAGGTCATAGAGAGAGAAGCTCGGCTCCGATTTAAAACAGTTCAGGTGTTTTTTTTCACGAAGTTCAGAGTTTTTTTCTTTTGTTTTTTTTTAAAGTTGGACTGTAATTTGATCCGGATAAACACAAGTCACTCGAGCTGACACGTGCCCGCGCACTGGGCGTGCCCGCCGCCATTGACGACTCCATGAGCGGCATGTAGCCCTCGCGCTCCCCCCCTCCTGTCCGCGAGGAAGTAAACAGTGAATGTGAGGCTGACCACGCGCCAAAAAGAGACGAAGCTGATAAGAGGAGACTGCGGCGATAACAACAACGACAATGAAAACAATAACAATGATAGCAATAATAATAGTAATAAGAGGGCACTGCGGTGATAACAACAACGACAATGATAACAATAATAATAATAATAATAATAATAATTAGAGGAGACTGCGGTGATAACAACAATGACAATGATAACAATAACAATGATAATAATAATGATGAAAATTAAAAAATACTAATAATAAGAGGAGACTGCACCAAAAACAACATTATCATCATATCATAAAATTTAAAAAAAATAAAAAATGCAGTAAAAAGGAAACATTATCACCAGTAATATAATATAAATAATAATAGTGAAAAGTTAGAAAATAAAATAAAATGAGTAAGAAAAAAAATAATAATAATAATAAATAAAATTAATTAAAATAACAACCATAACAAAATAATAAAAAATGAAAAAAGTAAAACTAATAATAATAATAATAATAATAATGATATAAATAATAATAATAATAATAATAGTAATAATAGTTACTTAAAAATATAATGAAATTAACAATTGTAAAAAATTAGAAAGTAAATTTTAATAATTCTTATAATAATAATTATAAACAATAAAAATAAAGTAAAACTATTAATAATAAATATTATAATAATTCAAAAAACATTAATAATAAAAAATATAATAATTAAAAAATAAAATAAAATTAATCAAAATTAAAAAATGAATAATAATAATAAAAATAATAATAATTATTAATTTATTATTAATAATAATAATAATAATCATCATCATCATCATCGTCATCATCATAACAATCATAATAAAATCAATAATTACGATAATAACACTTATATTACTATTACTTATAATAATTATGACGTATTTTCATGCAACTTGCTCTCAAACAGCTCAGAGACAAATACTGATTATTTTTAAACTATATTTGACTCAATTTGAAGACAAATGAGAATAACGGAGAATCTGTTTACAACTGAGCTGCTTTTTTTGCACATTTTAGGAACAACACCTGGTCAGGTTGGATACTCACCTCTGATTGGCTGCAAGATGTTCATCAGTTCCTGGTATTGGACACCTGATGTTGTTTCCTTTTCTTTTCTGTTTGATATTATACATTAATGTGCTGGAATGGCAGCATTAACCTGCAGCTCAAACAGATCATTTAGAGGTCATGTGAGGAATTTTTGGTTTTCGTCCACTTTGGCACCACCTGTGGACAAAACAGACATTGCACATTTAGATTTCTGCGTGCTTTGGAAGATGATTTTGACAGAAACACTCATCCTGCTGACTGTTAACAAGCAAATATATTTATTATTGTGTTGTTTTTTTTAAATACTAAAAATAGGACTGTAATGTAGGACAGCACTGAGATATTATTGCTTTAATTATTGTGTCGAGGTGATTTTCACAGTTTGTGTTTCAGTTTCATCATCAGAGTTCATCTGAATCACCATCCGTTTGACACATTCACTGACCTTTGTGCTGCATTCAAGGACATCAGGAAAAGGAACCACCTTGTACCCTGTAATTGCAGATTCTCACTCTGCGCCTTGAGTCATAATGCCGATGAAGCCGAGGCAAACGTGTCAGATCGCGTCCTGCGGTAACCTTCATCTGTGAGGAATGTGTGAATACGTGAGTCTGCACAGCTGCCAGCTTCCTGCTGCAGGAGGAGAACAGACTGTACCAGTTTGACCACAACGACCAGAGTTAATCAGCAGCTCCCGCCCCATCAATCAGGGTCTGTGCTTCACTGAGGGGGTTTTCCAGACCTCTGTAGTCCTCGCTATGTCCTCTGTGCACCCCTGCAGAATCTAAACTGTCCTCATTTCTCATGTTCAGAACAACAAGTGCTCATTCTGTCCTTGGATTTACGTTCTGCCTATGGAAGACAAAATCATGGACATCAAAAATACACAAAACTGCACAGCCTGGAGATTTACACTGAAACTATGACTTCCAGTGAAAACTTCCTTTTTCATTCATGGAAATAAGGAGTTCAGGCTAAAACCTAAGGTCTAAAGAGAAGTGAAATTACCACCTCCGCATATATGTGAGGAAAATAACGCCGTCACATCTCAGCTCGTTACATTCTCTGGAAGAGCAACACTTCATCTGTCTGGGTTATGAGTCTCAGTTTCACTGTAAAAGTGAGTTACACTGAAGATCTACTGTCATACTGAAACAGTATAAATCTAAAGAAGAGAAGGTCATTTTCTCATGATTTACAGGTGATTAACATGTCTCCAACTGCACCAGTTCATCTGTTTTGGTCTCAGTTTCACTGTAAAAAGGAGGTTTTATAGAGGCTTCGAGATTGACAGGTTTTATATTCTGCGGTTAACCTGTCTGTGGTGAGTCCCAGTTTTACTGTAAAGAGTCAGTTACATACAGCCTCTACTCTTGTTTCCTTCCAGTGTAAAAAAAAGGGACTTAAATTATACACAGTAAGTGATCCACAGTTGACAAGCTGTACATCAGTTTCTGGTGAGTCCCAGTTTCATTGTAAACAGTATGTGACGCAGCAGCTTCAATGTGACTTACTTCAGTGGTTTGAGACCAAAAAAGTTAACTAGTTTTCCAAACGATTTAAAGATAATTAACGTGTCTCCAACGGCAACCATTCACCTGTAAGTGGTAGGTCTCCGTTTCACTGTAAACAGTAAGTGACGCAGCAGCTTCAATGTGACTTACTTCAGTGGTTTGAGACCGAAAAAGTCGATTTGTTTTCTAGATAATTTAAAGGTTATTAACGGGTCTCATACCGCAACCATTCAACCTCTAAGTGGTGAGTCTCAGTTTCACTGTAAATGGTCAGTTACATCAAAGTTTCACTCTGGCTGACTCAAATGTAAGAAGTATGAACCCAAACTAATCAGACTAATTTTCTCATGACTCACAGGCAACGAACAGGTCTCCAACGGCTCCGGTTTGTAAGAGTCCCAGTTTCACTGTTAAAGTAAATTACACAGAAGCTTCACTCTGGCTTACTTAAGAAGTTATTTATCTCAAAAATTACAATAATTATTACTATTTGTTTTACTGTAATCCCAAAATTGCAGAAATTTAACCAACATTTAACCTGAATGTTGAAGCAGTTTGTAAATGTTATGATTAAGATCCATTTCAAAATTTTAATAAAGAAGTTAAAAGTTTTTTAATTTGGACAGAGAAGTTGATCCTTAAACTGAACCTGCACCCACAGTCTTGAAGTAAAACTAAAGTGTATTTAGAGACCTATGAGTGTGTGTCTGTGTGTGCGTGTGTTTTTGTGTGTCAGACAATGGCGGTTCAAACTCCGGTCCTTCTGCCTACGTGAGAAGAGCTTCATCGTCTGAGTTAACCAGTAACCAGAGCCGTGTTTCCTCTCTGATGGGCTGCCGCGGGCTGAGGGAAGAGATCCCGGGGCTGTTTGAGAGGACGTGCTGTAATCTGAGGTTTACTTTACACTCAGACGTTTGTGTTTATGAAGACCGGAGTAATAAAAAAAGATCTGATGAGGCAGCTGATTTCTAAAATTTACGACCTTGTTTTGATGACACACATTTACACACTCACAGTTCTGCAGAAGAAGAAAACCTGCGTCACAGCTTTTACATGTTTCCTTAAATATCTGGTGACACGCGGCGAGTGTTTCTGTTTCTATAAATCATTTCAGTTTAACGTCACAGATGTTAGTTTGTTTTACTCAGATCATTTCATATCAACCTGTAGACTGGGGAAACTTTCACTATATCAAATAATTTCTCTTTGAAAGGTTAACAGGCAGTAAATTTAACATTACACCAGATTATTTATTATGTATCACTGACAAAAACTGTGAAAACGATCATTTTGGAAGGTCAGGGTTAATTATCAAATATTAAAACTCTTATGAGATTTTTATTATGAGATGTTTATTCTACCGTTACTGGCACGGCTAACAGTGTAGCAAGGCTAATAGCAGGTGGCTAACGCTAACTTTAGCTTGCATATTACATGGTGCTACACCGTTAACTCTGCGTGACCGAGACCAGCACAGCGGGGAACATGGTGAAGTGGGTTGAACTGAAACTTGTCGAATTTATTGTGTGGCGGAAATGGCAGATCATTTTCGAAGTGAAACCGAATCTTATTTCTGAAAGTATCGGTGAAAATCAGCGAGTTTTGGCCAATTACCGAATAATCTCAAACGGGCTAAAATTGGCCGATTAAATCAGCTCGCCTATAAATCAGTCCGGCCCTAATAAACAGTCTATGATATTTACTTTTAATTTTACATTTGCCCGTCAGAAGTCAACAGGATGAGATTATTGTCTGAAGTAAGAAAAGGACAAAATGAGCAAAGACTGTTTTGTCCACGGGGGGGCGCCAAAGTTGATACAAACCAAAAGTTCCTCACTGGAGCTTTAATATGTATAAAAATATAACATTCAGATATACAAACAGAGTCTCAACCTCCAGTCTCAGAATAAAAGGCCGATGCAGAAGTGCTTAAAACTGTAGTTCCCCAAGTGTCCACTAGAGGCTGCAGAAGCACAAGAAACAACAAACCTACAAACCAGGACCTGTTCCTTTCAGCAGAATCTGTCATTTCACAATCTCAGATGATTTAGTTTTCATCGGTCGTCTGATTAATCCTCTTAGGAGAAAAAAAAAACATAAAACTTTATACTTTCGGTAAACAGACTTGACAATCACGAAAATAACCAAAAAGGTAATTTAAAAGCTGTTCAGATAATATCTGCAGACACTGCAGGGAGGCTGAGCAGCCTGTCTGCTGTTGATCAGTGTTAGCACTCCCCCTTGTGTCCATTTTGCCGTCCTGCGCTCTATTGTAATAACCCACAAATGAATCAAACTGTTTTAATCAGGAACCATGTGTACATGATTTCAGGACAATGGGAATACATAAAAACAAAACCAGGCACAACCAGCTGCTTATCTTTGTGAAATATCCCTTTAATGATTTGAGTTTACAGAGGAGGTATTCAGCATCAGAAGCTCACAAAAGCACAAATATTTTATTCTGTACGCCATCAAATCTGACTACAAAACTTTACAAATATGTGTACAAGATTATATACAAAGAACTGAGAAAATACAGGGACTCAAAATCACACGTTTCTAATCGCAGAAGCAGTTTTAACACGTAATAAAGTAACTTCAAAATGGAATTCTGGTTAATTTATCAAGTTTGTGCAAAAGGGAAACCGATACTGTCGCTTTTTTTTTTTTTTTACAGTTTAAACAAAAGTGGAGAATTTAAAGGGTTATTCCGTCAGTTTTAAAGTCATTAATTGAACCCTGCACATCAAAAAAACACTCCTCTGTTTAGTGTCTCTGAAGGATTTCGGCTAAACTTTGAAACTCGACGTCCTGTCAGCAGCAAATGTCGTTAGAAGAAGCAAGCGACCACTTCACAGCTGCATAAAAACTGAACATTTCTGAACACAGGAGGACAAGATTTCACCTTTTTCACTCAAACTGTATCTTGTTTCCTGCTGCAACTTCTCTGAGTTTTATTTTATACAAATCTTCTGGTCTGAACATCTTTAAAAAAACTCACTAATTTAGACACCTGCGTTTTAAACCACCTTTCAGTATCTGAGCTGATGTTTAACGGTCTGACAGCGACAAATACGATTAAAGAGGAACATCAGGAGTCATATGTGCATGTTATGAGGTTTCTTGTGCTTAGCGTGGACTAACATCTATCTGGGAAACGCTGCAGCTTTAGTTTGAACAGGAAAATACTTCTTTACTGTACAGAGAGTTTCTGAGATGTTCCAGCAGGATTAACTCTTTATAACTGATTTATATCATTACATCGTTTCCATCAGTGGAAAAAAAAAGGCGATAAATGTCTTCATGGTTTCCTCCGACAGAGCCTCGACATCTGATTGGCTCTCATAATCTTATACGGCTCATAAAAAAACTAGTCAAACTAACATCTGTGTTCCCAGACCCTGAAGAAAACTCTAAGACAACAACGGTGGAATAAAAATGAAGCCGTCCGATCAGACTTCCGGATCATTTACACTTTCCCCAAACAGACGGATGCACTTGGTTGGAGATCGAAATAAAATATGTGGATTACAATCAAGAACGTCCTCTTTGAAGGCCTCACATCCACGATCAACGTCCTTCACAATCCAAAATATTTCAGCGAAGGAAAAACAGTCTGAGGGAGGAACATCGTCCGCTGTGACGCTCACAGCTTTGACCTTTGGTTTGGAGTCAGCTCTGAAGGAAAGGAGACAAGGAGACGAGAGGAGGAGGAAGGAGGAGGAGTTCTGTCTGTACATGGCTGGAGATGATCCCCACCTCAAGCCCCGGAGCAGGCAGACGGACAGGTGGATGGACGAGCTACGAGCCGGACAAACGGGACCAGTGGACAGACGGGACCAGTGGACAGACAGGACCAGTGGACAGACAGGACCAGTGGACAGACAGGTGGTCTCGCTGCGTCATTGTACCACCTCAAAGTAGTGCAGGATGGCCATGATGTGCTGCGGCATGAAGACGTATCCGGTGTAGACGGCCATGCCGGCCACCGAGATGAGCAGAGAGTCTGAAGAGACACGATAAGGACCGACTCCTGATAACCAGATGAGACATTTATCACCCCTGACCTCAGACACACGGCTGTGGAGCTCTCAGTATTTCACTCTGGGTTTCATCTTTGAAAAGCTTGACCTACAAATGCAGATTTTGGCCGATACCTTTTTTTAAAATTATAATTGACAACACAAACCTTTGATGGTCTGATCTGAATGAATCTGAATGAATATTTCTGTCCAAACTACTCAATTAAATCAGCTCCTTTAGTCTTTTATTTTCAGCATTTTAAAAATTAACAGTATTTGGTCTCAAACAGGTCAGACTGCAGTTTCTGAGCCTCTTACCAAAATAAAGTTCACAGCAGTATTTCATTTCCCGCCCTCCTTCGCCTCTGATTGGCTCGAAGTGCTGAGCTCCGATCGGTTATTCCTTATGGCTGTGAAACGTCATCGTCTGTCGGGTTAGGACATTCAGAAGTGCGATAATGTTCTGTGATGTTCCGATGTACAGAGCCGACAGCCCGCCTTCGGCTTGAGCGCTAGATGACGTTTCCAGCTTTTCCGACCAATCAGAGGCGAAGGAGGCGGGACTTTCCCCAACCGTCCTACAACAAAAAATATCGCGGACGGGACTGTCATTCTGGCAAAAACAAAAAGCTACAACAGCTGAGTTTAAGACCTTTGCTGAAGTCGATCAGATCGGTTTTATGTGTAAGAATCAGCTGATCACCGATCCCCCAAAATTAAGGAAACTGGCGCAGATCGATCGGCCGGCCAATTTATCAGTGCATGTTTAGATATAATGTATAATAAATCCCATGAGTGTCAGAAAACAGTCGTTAGTTTTCACTGTCGTTATTGTGGTACGATGAGAAAGAGGCAGAATGAGTCACAGACACATTCACGAAACAAAACCCCCTCCCCCAAAATACTGAGGCCTGGTTTCCCTGTAATTCTCACAGGTCCTCAGGTTAGACCAATCCAAATGAGGCGTTTGAAATACAGAGTGCACTGAAATCCCCTCACAGCCATCAGCCGGACAGTTCAAGTGGAATTTAAACTTTAATGAACTCCTAATCAACCAAACCGCCCGAATGATCCCCGTTTGATCTCTGAGAGAGTGAAGACTGGACGGAGAGCAGCACTCAGGCTGATAACAGGCGGAGCAACAATAACACAACCTCTGACTTATTCACACAAACACACCTGACCCTGAGGGAAGGAGAGACACAAGCGGAGGGTGACACCGACCGCAGGAAGACGATATGTCATGTAGACAACGTGATAGTGACGGATTACTGCGGCGACACCGATCAAAGTACGGCCATAACAACATGAACAGGATCTATTATTCAGCAGCAATCCTATCAAACACACTTTATCCTGATCAGACTGGAGTTTGACGGCAATCAGAGTTTGTGTAAATTAAAGAAAACATGAGCGAGGACAGTTTTAATGTTTTATGTTCCTGCTCTGCTGTTACATATCAAATGAAACACTCCCTGAACTAACTGTCACTCCCCCTGAGGTGATCTGAGCGGCTCGGGTTCACAGTGACAGTTTACAGTCGGAGAGTAAATACAATAAAAGTCAAACATCAGGAAACGACCAGGAGGAGGAGGAGGAGGAGGAGGAGGAGGTCACCTGAGACGGAACAGCTCGTCTTCAGCCGTATGAAGGAACCAGATATTCAGACTATTTAAGCTTTTATATAACGTCCTTCATGACGTCAAGACTTGTGTTTCATAATTCAGACCAATGTCCGATATCTCATTAGTGATCGCGGCAGCCTCTCTCCTGTCATGCCAACCCCTAATTTCCACCGCATCCGGAATGGCGGTGATTTTCGCCGTACGCCAATTCCTACCGAATCCATTTGTGAGGCGAATTTTGTGGCGGATTACAAACAGTGGTTATCATGAGAACTCACAAGAACCCATGGATTCACGTGCAACCACGCGAAAGTAGGGTCCGATCGATTTATCGTCGAGTCGATTAATCTAATCGGTAATCGACTGAAACTCGCCGATTTTCGCTGATATTTTCAAAATAAAATGCGGAGAATAAGAATCAGTTTCACTTCGAAAATGTTCCGCCGTTTGAAAAGTTCCCTGACTTATCCTGTAGATGGCGCATCGACCTCATGACAATCTTCATCACTACCTCACAGCAGAGTGACGGATCTGAAGTTGAAAACGCTTTTCTGCTCTGAGTTTGATCAGTTGGTCTTCCTGTCGGTGTGAAGAGCAGTAGTCTACAGTATATCTACAGTATATATATTAATTTTAGAACTTCATAAAAAAATTCTCCAGGTTTAGGAGCAACATCTGCGTCCATCCAGACGAAGAGTTTTTTCAGGGAAGACCTTCATATGATTCCAAACCACATTTTGACAACAGTTGAAATGTGGAATGTGAAATTCTTGCAATCAGCTGTGGAGTCTGGCGATCCGCAGAGGAACGGAACCGTTACGATCAGCTACGATCTGCGGATATGGCCTTTTCGGAGCCGTTCAGGATGCAGTGGAATTCGGGGGTTACTCTGTCCCTGGGTTTTTCAGACACACACCTGCCTCGTTTCTCCAGAGTTTGTACCGCTGTTTCATGTGCACAACAGGTGGTTCAACACTGTCCAGTCTATTATTAAAGCCGTACATATACACAATATATCAGTGACAGATAACTGCATGTCTGACTTAACGTACAACCAAAACACCAACAGTAAACTTTAATTATTTACCTCTATCACCTCTAATCCTCCTTCATACACCAGTTACACCTTTGGAGAAACAAAACTGATTTAAAGTCGAGATTCAGACCTCTAAAACAGACATGTTAGTATCCTCAGACCCATGGTTTTAGTGGTGGGAGGATCCAGACTGTGATCCAGGGTCACTGTAGGAAGCCCAGCCTCGACACCGCCCAAAAAAACCCGGCTAAATTCACTCATATTTGACCAGAAAAACTAACTTTTTAAGTAGGAAAAGACCCTTCAATTGGCCCTGACCAGACTGAACCAAACCTCTCGATAAAAACTACAACTTCAGGAGCGTTAAAACTGTCGAACACTCTGCATTCATTTGGAGTTACAACAAAAACACAAACAGATATAAACATTTTTTATCAGCCGAATTCTACCTAAAATCCTGAAAAATGATCAGACACTTTGATATACGGATATAATAACTCTGAAATACACAAATTTGTCAAATAAGTTCTGGATCAGACGCCGGGTAAGTTTTCGTAGTGAGCTGGCGAGCTAGCGTTAGCACGTTAGCTTAGCTTGTTCGGAAGTAGTTTTTCACACGGAAAAGGATACTGAACACCGTCCTCTCCCACGGCTCCAGCATGTACAGCGCCGTCACCAGGAGGTACTGGTAGTAGAACCAGGATAACTGCTTCCAACAGTCACCCAGAGCCATTATTCCAACTTCACAAACGACAACTTTAGTTCTGGTTCCGAGCCCGAGCTGGTTTCCTCCTCAGACGTGACTTCTGGTGACGCAGTACGCTGTGGCATGAGATGCTTGTTTTCGACCAATCAGAGCCTCGCTTTTGAGTTGAGCGCTGTGACGCGAATAGGGAGTTCCAAACATAGATAAAACATGAACGCTAGATGGTTTACGCACGCCGACATCCGCGCATGGCGGCCATTTTGCTACGGGACGCCCTCTCTCTCCTAACATTCAAGTCTACGGTGCATGTAACATTAAAATAACCAAAGATTGATTAATTTTAAACCGATTTTCAAACGGTTTGGTTGGTAACAAACCTCAGAGTTTTAGTTATGTTCCTGCATACTCAAGAATAATTTTAACCATGGATTTTCATAAATAATCACCTCCTGTTAGCTACTATTTTAACTCCAATGTTGGCTAAAGAGGAACCAGTCATGTGACCACAGATAACTGTTCTCTCTCTGTTTTGTTTTCTATGTCAGCTAACAGAGTCTTATTTCTATTCCTTTAGTATCTTCTTGTTGACTGATTTTCCCCTTAATTCTGTTTCATGAGTGACTTCCAGGCTGTAAGGATAATCTTTGTACTCGTCTGTCACTGTGCTTCCATTTTTTATGCCAGGGACTACAGATGAAAATTAGCCATTTGCTATATCTGGCATATTTACATTTTTATGTTCGTTAATGTGCATTGTCCCTTTTAAATAAATGAATGAAATAGAGCGTACTAGAATGGTATACTGGGGTAAGATGGCCGCCGTGGAGGGATGCCGGTGACTCCGCCTCATAGAGTCATCTACCCCTTCTTGTAGATATCTATGTTCCATATCTTATAAATTGAGCGTAGTTCAGCGTCGCCGCCATGTTGGTTGGGTCTCCTCGGAGTCGGTTATTATGCCTGTATATTGTGTCGCCGACTGTTGCACTAACCGGCGCGGTGTTGACACCAAATCGCGTGGGATTACTTTCCACAAGTAAGACTGCACAATAATTTAGGCTACTTAACTATTCATGATATTATGTCATCGTAACTACCGTTATTTGGCTATCAACGAATTGTTAGCAACAGGAACTGTTTTCTTCTTCTTCACATCTGGAAGGTTTCCCGGGGACACGGACTTGAGGAGGAAATGGGAAATTGCTACAAGAAGGGAGAAAGGTTTCGTTGCTTCGGAGTCCTCCAGACTCTGCAGTGAACACTTTAGAGCAGAGGACTTTGACCGGACGGGTCAGATAGTTCGGCTCAGAGACGGTGTGACCCCATCTGTCTTCAGCTTCCCATCTCGACTCCGAAGAGTAGGTTTATTTTAGACAAATTAGACACAGATGCCTCATTCTTTACTGCTGGAGCGTAATAAAGCGTCACCGCCATTTTGGATGGGTCTTCTTACTTTAGACTCGAATCAGCCAATCGGAATAAACAGAAAACGAACCGAACCGCGAGATGATCGGGTAAAAAATCGGGGTTGAAATGACAGTAGTTGGGCAAACGTACCTTCATCTGAAGAACTAAATTCTTTAGGGGAACTTTGTGGACCCATCCAAGATGGCACCTGCTCTAACGTCAGCTCCAGTATGCACTTTCAGTCTATGAGGCTTTTTCCTATGTTATGTCTATGTATTTTTACTCTACATGCCAACAGAAATGTCCGATTTAAATGTAAAACAAAAGTTAAAGGGATATTCCGGTGTAAAATTATACCAACTTTAGTAATGACCGCAGGATAGCAATACACAGCGGTCTGAGGAGCCATAAACAAACCTCAACCAAAACGCCACTCTATAGCCACAAATAATGCTCAGAACAGCACCTAACTTCATCAACAGGACATATAGGGTCACAGACATAGTACTAACTTTGAACACAACTCACCTACTCTCTTCCAGCAGACGCTTGTTTGTAGCGAGACCTCAGGCCAGTCTATTACAGACTACAGCGGGGTGCCGCAGCTCAAGGAAGAACATTTATGATCATTTTTTCATGGAAATACAATCAGACCGAGACGCTAAGACAGAAGAACTACTGCGTCTGTAAAATGATTAATATGGTGATTATTACTTCAAGGAAATGATAAAGAAATTATCATAAATGTTCTTCCTTGAGCGGCGGCACCCCACTCTAGTGTTACAGTGTGTTTGACCCTAAATTAATTTTACGCCGGAATATCCCTTAACACTCGTTGTTTACAAGTTTTATCTTTCTTATATTTCAGCCTGTAGCAACAAGGAACACAAGAACTTCACGGAAAGCTGCGGAGAGCCTACCAGTGGACCTTTCTCAGCAGGTCCCTAAAAGTGGACCCCCGTCCAATGATGTGAGTGTCTGTATCTGATGTGTCCCACTCAGCTGTAGACAGAATGGAAGTTTTCATACAGTCTGGTTTTTACCATTATTTCTTTATCTTACCTCAGCCTTTAGCAACAAGGAACACAGGAACTTCAACAAGAGCTGAAGGGAGCCGACCAGTGTACTTTTCTCATGTCCTTAAAACTGGACCTCCGCCCAATAATGTAAGAGTCTGTCCCGTCCAGCTGTGAGCATCACGGTCATTTTAAAATCTCTCCTTTGTCTCTGCATCTCTTTTCTGACACACTCATGTAAACACTTTTATATCAAATAAATACACACATGCACAAACACTCTCTATTCCTCATACTCACGGTTCTGGCGGGGATATTACGGGTATGAAAGGATCTGTTTCTTTACATCTATGATACAAACATCTCCATCCGTCTCTCTACTAGGACCACCCCTACGCACTGCCCGATTCTCCCTCTCATCTTAAGACCAGACTCAGTGAGGCGTTGGCGAGAGTGGAGAGTCTGGAGCGGGAGAGGCTGAACTTAAGGGCCCGAGAACGGAGAGCGAAGAAAACGATAAAGAGTCTTCTGGAGGATCTGAAGAAAAGAGACGCTGTGATTGAAGAGCTGAAAGACAGGCTCGACTTCCACTCAGGTGAAACCACGTTGAATTTAGTGAAAGTTTTATTTCAGGGGAACTCACTGACTTGTTTGTCTGAACTGTATTTCAGGTCTGGAGATAGACCTCTTTTTAAAGCGGGGCCATGAATACACGCAGGACCAGAAAGAGTTCGCCCTCACGCTCTACCTCTATGGTCCGAAGGCGTACAATTTCCTGAGGGATTCTCTGCACCTTCCTCTGCCACACCCACACACACTGCAAAGGTGTGGTTCATGTTTTTTTAATGACACTTTAAAACCTAAAAACTTCAGGGAACTGATGTCGTGTTGTTCTCTCTTTTTTTGTAAAGGTGGATGCAGTTAGAGAACGCTAACCCTGGGCCCGACACGGTGACGTTGGACATGTTGGAGGATGGACCTGAAGAAGAGCCTGACTCTGTGACCCTCATGTTGGAGAGTAGACCTGAAGAAGAGCCGGACTCTGTGACCCTCATGTTGCAGAGTAGACCTGATGAAGAAGAGTCCGGCCCTGTGGTCCTCGTGTTGGATAACATGACCCTCGATAAACCTGTCCAGTATAATCCTGATACCCAGAAAATGAGTGTGTGTGAGAGAGAGAGCGAGGGAGAGTGAAATAAATCTAAATAAACAATCAAACTTGTTTCTTCATTCAGATATAACATTATTAAACTGATCAAATTCAGGGAGTTATGATCAATAAAATTCGGCACTTTTACCTTTATGCACCCATATGCAACTGTAAAGTATTCTACACAGTAAAACTAGAGTCCAAAATACAAGAGTTAGGAACTTTTTATTAAGGCTGAGACGATATGCTTTTCTCCCGATTCGATTCTTCTACGATGTTTTGGATGCTGATTCGATTTAAGTTTCGATTCTACGATATTAATCTGCGTTTTTAACTCCAGTGAAATAGCTGATTATGATTATGATTGTCTACTGACTATTCCCCCAAAAAATACACATCACATCTAAGTCAGTTTTTAAGATTTATTCTTAAATTTGATTTTTAACATAAAAATCTATTAAAAAATTGTAAAACAAAAAATCGCGACACTTATGTGAATCGTTTTTTTTCTCCCACTTCTACTTTTTAATGTAATTCAACTTCATAAACAAAATACGATCATTAAGTGAATTTTTTTAAACACTTTATTGAGGTTTCAGACAGATAGAAGAACTAATAACTGTCCAGATTTGTTGTTTTTTTGAACCACTGCTGAGTTATTTCAGGAAAAGTCACTTTAAAATTTTGGCACTTTTTACAAATAAACGAAAAACTAAAGAAATCCGTGTTTACGTCTGTGTCTGAGGAGAGTCCGACCTCTGAAGGAGTTTTAACCACGACATGAGGGAGACATCAGCTGATCTCCTGAAATAACCCTCTGACTAAAAACGTCTTTTTGTTTCTGCAGCTGAAGTTTCAGTCAGATGGAGACACTTCAGAGACTCCTGGATCTGCTGCGGCCCCTTTACGGTCTTTAACGGACCCTTAATTCCACATTTAGGAGCTAGAATCCATCTGTGTGAGTCCTGAACCCTCTGATCGCAGCACTCATGACAACAAACGCTGGACTAAACCCCGCCCAGTGTCAGCAGTGACTCGCCAGGATGTTGAAGAAGTGAAATACCTCGTCTTTATCGAACACGGCCACCTCAGTCGAGCACTCGGAGCACTGAACCGGGTGATAAACCTCATCAGAGTCCATCCCCGCCGGAGCCGGCGTCGGCGTTTCGTCTGCTCCCTCGTCTCGTGGCGTTTCTGTTTTCTGACCCCGCCTCCTCTTCCTGTTCCTCTGCTTCCTGTCCGGCTGGGTTTTGTAGCGTAACACTTCGTCTTTCTTCACGGTGCAGTTCATGACAAACATGGCGCGGTACTGAGTTCGGTAACTCTCGTGCCTGAAGGGACAAAACCGACACCTCAGTATTTACATCAACTGTTCACGGAAGACAAGAGTCTCAGTGTCTGAACCTGCGCCGCCTCACCTCTGACAGTCCAGGCACAGCGTCGTCATGCAGGCGGGACAGTTGAGGACGGCGTCGCTGGACGGTAAACCCTGAGGCTGCAACCGAGACCCGGCAGGTGTTCGCTTCCTGTTGTACCTGCAGAAGACGAAACAAAAGTTAAACCTCTCCGTCTGCCTCTTTGGACTCTGAGTTCATCTCATCATTTTCGTGTCTCACCCTCTTCTCCTCGCGTCCACCCACGCCTGGTCCCGGTCGTCCTCATCTGGGTCGTACAGCAGCTCATCATTGGTCAGAACGGTCCGCTGTTTCCGCCGCCGACCCGTGGAGCTGCCTGAGGAGAGAACAGAGAGGTCACCAAACCGAGCAGGTCGCCTTATAGGACTTCACCTGCAGCCTGACGGTGCTTACTTGGAGTGTTTTCTTCTTCTTCTGAGTCCGAGTCGAAGTAAATCTCGTCGTACATTTGACGGTCGGGGAGTCGAGGACCTCCTCCTCCTCCTCCTCCTCCTCCTCCTCCGTGGTCTCCTGAGTTTCCTGCTACAACAAGAACACAAACAGGACGTCTGTGTAGGTTCTCATTCATCGTTCTAAAGAACCAAGTCCAGTTGCCTCCTGCTAAACAGAACATTTCCTCTGTGGTTACTTTAAAGGGATATTCAAGGAAGAGCATTTACGATCATTTCTTCATGGAAATACGATCAGACCGAGACGCTGAGGCAGAAGAACTACTGCGTCTGTAAAATGATTAATATGGTGATTATTACTTCAAGGAAATGATAAAGAAATGATCATAAATGTTCTTCTTTGAACTGCGGCACCCCGCTGTAGTCCATAATGGACTGGCCTGAGGTCTCACTACAAACAAGCGGCTGCTGGAAGAGAGTAGGTGAGTTGTGTTTAGTCTCTTTGTTAAAGAAATGAGTCAAAGTTAAAAAGATGTTTGGTGTCTAGTACTATGGCTGTGACCCTATATGTACTAACCTCAGTAGATCATGGTGTAGCTCCGTTCAGTAACAGAACCTCATTGGAAAATTAGCTGATTTAACTTTACTGTGCTCTTGTTCAAATATATTAACTCTACAGCACATAAATCCAGACCTGTTAACAAAATCATGATTTTATTGATAATTCGGCTCAATAAAAACACCTTTACCTTTTCATTTTACTACAGTAGAAGTTTATTGGCCCAGCTTATAGACTACAGAAGTGGAGAAACGCCCCCGCTTAAGTTTATGTTTTCTTAGGAGTTAGAACAACTCTGACTATAGTACTATGTCTGTGACCCTATATGTCCTGTTGATGAAGTTAGGTGCTGTTCTGAGCATTATCTGTGGCTATAGAGTGGCGTTTTGGTTGAGTGCGTGGCTCTCTGTATTTCTATCCTGTGGTTGTTACTAAAGTTGGTATAACTAGAGAAGCAAGCGGTCGGCAACACTCATCTCTGGAGGGGGGGTCTAACTCGGTGTTACGGTGTGTTTGACCCTAAATTAAATTTTACGCCTCATTAGACTCAGGTGTGTGTTACCTGTCGATGATGGTCCCCAGGTCCCCTCCATGGTCTTGATTGTGGAGCTGAGCTCCGCCTCCATCTCCTTCTCGAACTCATCCCCGCTGGAGGACTCGCTCTCCCCCGTCAGATACTCTCGGATCAGTTTCTTCTTCTGCTCCGGGGTTCCGTTCAGCAGGACGTCCAGTTCGTCCTCCGAGCTGAGACACAGAAAAAGAAGACCAGTCCAGGTTTTGGGTCAGTTTTTAAGTATTGAGTCCAGTAAAAAGTTCAAATCCTAAAATATTTAACCATCCTTTTTTAATATAAATTCAGCATCTGAAACACATGATTCACTTGAACTCATAAAATCCAGTTAGACTGACAGAAGTGCCTTTATTTTATTAACTAAAATGACTTAATATGACAAAATACGAACGTTTTCAGACACTGTTTTAGCTCTACCTCGGTGATCTCATTAAAAAAACACCGTAAATTCAACACAAACAGATCTGCCTTCATGATATGACCCATTTACGAACAATAAACCCCTTAAAAAGAGAAAAATCCGGAGTAATTCCGTATTTTTCGATCTCCAGGTTTATTGCCTTAAAGTTAATAATTCGTGTTTTTTTTCTGACCTGCTCTCCGCTCTTTCCTCGTCGCTCGGCTCCTCGATCTCATAAGAGTCAAACTCCAGAGTTTTATTTAGTTTATTCATGTTTACAGATTGATAAAGTCCTTAACATCAACATCAACACACACGAGCAGCTACACAGCTAACAGGTAAACACGGGCACGTCCTTTTCTACTTCCGGTTCAGGGCACAGATGAGACAGAGGAGGGAAAGATGGCGCCACCTGCAGTTTGGAGGAGAGACCGTCAGCTGCTTGAATGTGAAGATATTTTTCCGGTTATTTTTCGTTTAATTTTTCTGTTGGTTTGTATTTTTCTCCCCGGTTTTTTACAGTCTGATCAACAGGGAAACAGTTGACCGAAATATTTACCAAACAGACAAAATTTACGGTCAAGAAAGTCGACAAAACACTTTTATTTTTAATTTTAAATCTGCTACTTTCTGAAGCTCATATTCTTCTTAAGGACGTGGGGATAATAAAAAAAACAAAAAAAAAACTGATTTTAACATGAAAATAAAAAAACAACACTATTATTGGTATTATGTAGTTAACTGAGTTTGTTGTGCTCAATATTTTTTATCATTTTGGCTATTTGTATTTTATATTATCACAAATTTATGAATAATATTTTCATCAACCTTTTTTTATTAATCTATTTATTTATCTGTTTATTTTTTAAGCGAATATAGTTAATTAAAAAACATATTTGTTAGCAGATGGCTGTCTATACATTTACACACTGCTTTTTAAAAATATTTATCTACTGGTTCTAACTTTGTAACTTGTTTGTTCAAGTGTTTTCTTCTTTTTTATAATAATAATAATAATAATAATAATAATAATCTTTATATTATTATAATTATTATTATATAACAATAACAATAATAATAAAATAACAATAATAATGAAATAACAACAATAATAATAAAATAATAATGATAATAATACTAATAATAATATTTATAATAATAATAATAATAACATTTATAATAATAATAATAATAATAATAAATATAAAATTGTCAACTAAAATAAAATAGTAAATGTAATGCTTCCCAAAAGTTCCTATATTTGTAAAGTCAGTAATGTGAAGCTGCAGCTATTATAGATGTTTATCACTAGATGGCAGCAGCAGATCGAGGATCTTGTAGGTGGATTCTCTGAGCGGTCACAGCAGCTGAAGGATGTCGATGTCCTCGTCTCCACACAGAAAGTTTAATCTGGAACAAGTCGACTTCGTACAGTGAGAGTAAAATATTTCAGACCTTACGAACACCAGAACAGATAACAGATCTGCTTTTTCCTCTAGTTCCAGTTTTTCTTCTGTTTTGGATCATTTTAGGCGGTTCAAACACAGACTTTGTTGCTGGTTATATTTGGTACCATTATCCACAGTGTACTCCCGATCATGTATAAATATGGACTTCATTTCTCCTTCCTGTACTGTTTGTCATCCATTAGTCTCATCTTCTGAAATCCCGTTACTGTCTCGGAACATCTAAGCACCACTTTATATTGAAGGAGCTTCTCTGACGTCTTTCCCCTCACTAAGTACAGTATCTGACCTCTCATTACATTTAGAGTGAGTCATCAGGTCCCTCCGCTGTGTTAATTTAAGGTTTTTACGTCAACTTGTGAAGTACTTGTACATTTCGTAAAAGAAAAAAAAAACTGGATCCTGCTGAGTTTTTACAGCTACATGAAATAATGAGTTACAGGGTCGTGGTAAAGAGCGAATACTTCAAAAAGTTTCTTTACATCGAAGTTCACGTTTCCTCTGAAGAGCCATAAAGATCCACTTAACTACTTATCAGGATGCTTTATGAGATAATGTGACATGAGCAGAGCTGGGGGAGGCAAAGCAAGGTACAATACCATATGATACAGAACATTACAATAACATGAGATATGATACAAAATAATACAAAATGATAAATTAAAACAACATATGATAAAGAACATTACAATAACATGGGATATGATACAAAATAATACAATACAACAACATATGATACGATACAAAACATAACAATAACATAAGATACAATAAGATACAATATAAAATGATACAATATGATACAACAACATATGATATGATACAAAATGATGAATGAAAATAACATCAGATACGATACAAAACAAACACAATAAGATAAAATACAATACAAAACGATACAGAACAATACGATAACAAAAGATATGATTCAAAATAATACAAAACCAATATATAATAATACAATATGAAACAATAACCTATCATATGATACAATACATTACGATACGTCACAATACAATACAATACAATTCCATCAGAAACATTACAATACGATACGATACAATAACATATGATACGATACAATACAAAACAATACAGTACAATATGATACAATACAATACACGATGAAATACAACACGATACGATACAATAACATATGATAAGATAGGATATGATTCAATACAATACAATAAGATACGATACAATTACATATGATGTGATACAATACAATACAATATGATACAATATAATACAATATGATACAATACAATAACTTATGCTATGATACGATTCAATACAATACAATACGATACAATATAATACAATATGATACAATACAATAACATATGCTATGATACGATACAATACAATACAATACGATTCAATAACATATGATTGCATACGATAAGATACAATGCTAAACAATACAATAACAGAAGATATGATACAAAACGATAAAATAACATATGATACAATTTGATACAATATGATAGAATACAATAGAAATATGATACAATACGATACGATAAGTTACGATACAATACTAAATGATACAATAGCAGAAGATATGAAACAATAGGATACATCACAATACAACAAGATACCACTTTTAATAAGAAAGTGGTACGAAATGATCCAAAATGATACAATACTGTTAATACACTACAGTAAGATTTGATACAGTGCAACACAATACAATACAATATGAAACAAACCAACATGTCAGAACAAAATTTTACAATTCTATCTGATCCAACATGTCTGTTTTACTGGAGTGAACCAGTAAAACAGACTGGAGTGTCCTGGACCAGCCAAGTCTCCCAGTTTGGAGACTCTGAGTGAGAGTTTCCTGCTTGTTTTTGTCCCACTGTTTGACCTGGACTGAAACCCATGAAATCAAACCCCAAAGAGTCTTGGTCTGCTGGTTAATCTGGAGATATGCAGGGTGTTGTTTGTTTATCACGGCTCATGGGCTCCTCTCTCTCTCTCTCTCTCTCTTGTGTTGTTTTGAACTCTTGTGCATAATTATTGTGTTTATTGCCAGACCAGTGACTCTCAATGAGCGGCTACCTGAGATGAACTGCTCTGCCATGCATCACTGCGTCCAACCGCACTCATCAGCCCGGGGTGAGGACTTCACCGCAGATCCGAGAGTTTTCTCTGTTATCGCCACACGATAAAAACTAAAACTATCTGTATAAGCTTTACTTAAGACGGTTTATTCAGGGGCCAATGAGGGGAGACCATCTGCAGTGATACACAGAGAAGTTTTATTCTTTATGCACGAATAATTTTTTTTTTTTTTTTAATTATTGACTTGAAATGTTGCAGAAATCAGAATCAAACGTTGTCATCGTCTGGACGTGGAGGAGCAGCGGTTCTCCTCTGAGCTCCTCCCGAGTGTCCGAGCTCCTTACCCTATCTCTAAGGCTGAGCCCGGACACCCTGAGGAGGAAACCCATTTCAGCCGCTTGTATCTGCGATCTTGTTCTTTCGGTCATTACCCAAAGTTCATGACCATAGGTGAGGATCGGCACGTAGATCGACCGGTAAATCCAGAGTCTCTCCTTACGGCTCAGCTCTTTCTTCACCACCACTGATCGCTTAAGCGTCCACATCACTGCTGACGCCGCTTCGATCCGCCTGTCAATCTCCTGCTTCATCCTACCCTCACTCGTGAACAAGATCCTGAGAAACTTGAACTCCTCCACTTGAGGCAGGACCTCCCCTCCGACCTGGAGAAGGTGATCTACCTTTTTCCGATCTGACATTTAATATTTCACTATGTTGTGTTCAGTAACTTCAGTGCAAATAAAGTAGAAAGAGGAGATAAAACAAACAAAGAAATAATATACATGTATGTACACTATATGCAACACAAAATAGTAAAATATCAAATATAAGATACTAAAAGATAAAGAGTTAAAAAGATCACAAACTTAAAGATCTCAGATTTTCAGTTTAGTGTTTTACACAAGGGTCCTGAAGATGCAGTCTCTGGTTCTGGTTCTGGTTCTGCACACATGTACAGTTGGAGTTTCTGCACGTCTAAATCCGGGCAGGAAAACCAGGATGAAAAAAAAACAGAGAGAGAGAGAGAGAGAGAGAGAGAGAGCGTCGTCTGCATGAGCGGAGCACCTGCAGAGTTTTTGGTTGGATGCCGTGATCACCTTCAGAGGCGGTTTTTGTGCCTCCAGAATGAACTTTTGATGCTGCATGAATGCTCGTCTGCAGGAGAATCACTGCTGCTTGTTTTTTTTTTTTTTTTTTTGGGATGACACTCCTGGAGCTCTCCCGTCACTCTGAAGGCCTCCGTCTCCTCCGACCAGGGTTTGTTTTGTGTCGCAGAAATCCTCCTCCTCCTCTCTGTGAACACACTGAACCCTGTCGCCTCGGAAAACAGCTTCACATAATCATCCCTCCGCACCAAAAGTCTGCTGCTTCTTTTGTGGCAGGAAATTGCTGTGTATCTCTGAAAATCTATTGAAAGCTGCAAACAAAGAGGAGAAAAAGCAACTGTGGCTGCCGCCTGGATTCCTGCACACACAAACACACACTGACACACACACCGACACACACACTCGTACACACTGTCCATTGTCTTCCCCTCCATTATCAAAGCCAGTGTGTGTTTTTCTCTCTCTCTGGTGTGTGTTTTGTGGTGGCGGTGGAGCAGACACCCAGTGGGAGAGCCCGCCTGCCGGCAGGAGGACAGATGGGTGTAATTTCGTTATTTTTACCTCCTCCAGGAGCTGGCTGCCAGCTCGGGGAAATTAGCATCGCACCTGTGTGTAATTGGCTAAATTAGCTTGTCGAGCGGCAGAGCTGAGACAGAGGTGGTCGGCGAGGTGTGTGTGTGTGTGTGTGTGTGTGTGTGTGCGTGTGTGTGTGTAGGAGGCAGGTAAAATCAGAGGAGTTGTTTAGTGTGTGTCAGAGGAGAAGAGGCTGTCAGGGAATCGAGATGTCACACCTGGAATGGAAAATGTCACCCAGCGGGTCCGCACACACACACACAAACACACACACTCGGAGACACAGACACGCAACAGACAGACACGTTAAAGGACAGAGTGGAGGGAAAAGACACAAAACAAACACACACAGATAAACACAAACAGAGAGACATAAACACACACACACACACATTAAAGCTGTTCTCGCACTAATCGGCCGTCTGATTGTACCTGTCAGGTAAACTCGTGTGATAGAGCAGATGTGCGTGAACCTGCTGACCACAGGTGACCCTCCCTCTGACCCCCGAGCACGACTCTTTAACAAACACGACTCTTTAACAAACACGACTCTTTAACAAACCTCACCGACAGGAAGCAACAGATTTTAATTTAAACGTATTTAAGTTTTGAGGGAAAAACGTGTAAAAAAAACAAACAAACAAAAAACAGCGCAATAAAGACGTCGAGGTAAACTCTGATAAAGTGAGAACAAACATGTCTGAGAGCAAATGTGCAACAAACCTACACGCTTAACTTCTTGAGTTTGCACTTCCGACTGCTTGCGTCTCTAGTTATACCTACTTTAGTAATGACCACACAGAGCCATGCGCTCAACCAAAACACCACTCTATACTGCAGGGGAGTTTCGCAGCTCAAGGAAGAACATTTATGATCATTTCTTCATGGAAATTCAATCAGACCGAGACGCTAAGACAGAAGAACTACCGCGTCTGTAAAATGGTTAATATGGTGATTATTACTTCAAGGAAATGATAAAGAAATTATCATAAATGTTCTTCCTTGAGCTGCGGCACCCCGCTGTAGTCCTTAATGGACTGGCCTGAGGTCTTGCTACAAATAAGTGGCTGCTGGAAGAGAGTAGGTGAGTTGTGTTTAGTCTCTTTGTCTTCTGCAGACGTACACAGACACCTTCTCTAATGTCGTCCATACTGTCTCCTCTCACTGTCTGATTTCATTGTATGCGATTCTTGAATGGGTGTGTATGTGGTTTCTGGAGCTCCTGCAGCCAGCCTCTGGTGGACACTCAAAGAACTGCAGTCTTTAGCTGTATTTTTTGGTTGCGGCTTGGTTCAGATTAGATTAGATTTTCGGACTAAGATCATAATTCATTTTTTTCTCTTTTTCTCTTGTTGACGTGAACGTGTCCTCCTCCCCAACACTAGGGGGCGATATGGGTCTTTTCAGCGGCGCTGTTTCCGACCCCATCCAACCGTCAACAACAACAGCAGGTCGGTGTCAGACATCTGAAGTGTCTACAACTGCTGCTGGGCATTTTGGAGAAACAAGAAGATGGAGCATCGTACAGCGTTGTTTTTGTCCGACATGATGGACGCGCTACTTTTTCTAAAGAGGAGACCAACGCTACTCCTCTACTCTGGGGGTTTTGTTCCGGGGTCATGGGGACGTAACCTACCATGTAACTACACCAGTTACATGGTAGAGAAAATCCAATTCCAATCTCATCATCTGGGTGTCTTAATCGGAGTTCTTAAACTCTGATTATAGTCGGACTAAAGTGTTTACATGACCTTCAGTTGTCTGGTCTTAATCGGAATAAGGCGATAATTCGGTTTTCTCGAGTGTCGCGTAAACGTACTGACTGATTACATACAGAAATCGTTTGTCCACTCGAACCTCTTTCAGACCCCAGAATAAGGACTTCATAATAAAGGCAGCGTCCATTAACGGAGCACCTCTCCACAGTCTCTTCCTGTCTGAAAACCCGACAGCCGCCATGTTTGTTTCATGCACCAACACCTCCTTCTCCTCCACATCCAGCTCTGTGAAGTGCACGGTAACAGCGGCTGTTGTTTTCCACATACAGTCAGAGGAACACATAAAGAGGAAGTGCTGAGTGAGGGGGCTGATCATTATCCAGACAGCCCACAGATCGTCCCTCATGTCACCTCATCGGACCCGAGCGTCTGCAGCTCTAAATACAGTTTGAGAGGATTTCATTATTGAGACTTCTGCTGTCATGTGGACTTGTGAAAAGCGTCTCAGAGGCCTTCCCACCCTGCCAAGAAAAATAAATTGGTCCTTGCACATAACCTCCTTATCTACATTCCTGCCGACACGTCGTCCCTGTTTCCTACGGAGCGTGTGTGATGACTCGGTCCGTACAGGTTGTATTATTCTACATTCTCACATCGATGGATCTGTCAGTCTATCTGTCACACAGCGACGTGCTCCGGAGCCCCGCTGAGACCTGCCACACTCACAGAAATAAAGGTTCAGGGACTCTGCAGAGGGTCCGCCTCACCAGGATTCAGAAAACCAGGACTGCGAAAAACTGGAAAATAACCACATCTACCTCAGAAAGAAAGATGATTTTAGTCTGGTGTCTGTTTTCAGGTGCGCTTTAAGATCTCTGAGACCGGCCTCTGTCTAAAATTAACCATAAACATCCCTTTAAAATGAGCACTTAAGTCTGTTTTGAGAAACTCTCAGTTCTTGACTTTTAAAACCGTGTCAAGGTACCCTGAAAAATTCTGAAATTATCTGTCTCTGAGAGGATGAACCAACCCATAAAAGTCTGAATAAAAGTCTACTTAAGTAGCCTTTAAAACCACCTTTAATCTCTCTTTATGTGACTTAAGTCTGTTTCAAGAAACTCTCAATTCTTCTCTGAGTGACTTTTAAAAACCGTGTTAAGGTACCCTGACAAATTCCGACGTTATCTGTCTCTAAGAGGATAAACTAGCCCATGAAAGTCTACTTAAGTAGTCTTTTAAGCCACCTTTACCCTGTCTTTATGTGACTTAAGTCTGTTTTAAGTAACCCTTAGTCCTTGTTTTAATGACTTTTAAAACTGCATTAAGGTACCCTGAAAAATTCTGACGTTATCTGTCTCTAAGAGGATAAACTAACCCTTAAAAGTCTTTTAAGTAGTCTTTAAGCCATCTTAACTGTTTTTATGTGACTTATCATCTCTGTTTTAGGAACCCTTTTAAATTTCAGCTCCTCTCTCAAGTAAACCTGTGCAGCTCTTCAAGGTTCACTTTAAAATCCTTATCCAATCAATTTTTCAATCTGTGTCAAAGTTCCCTTAAAAGTTACCGTCTCCATTAACTTAAAATCCATTTTTAAGGCCGTTAACCACACATATAAAATGTTGGCATTATTGTGCCTGAAGTAAGAGGTATAAATATGATTTTTAGCTAAAATTTCAGCTCATATTTCAAGGTCTCCTTAAGAGTCCAATGCTGGTTAGTTTTGAACTTTGTCACCTGAAACCGTTTCTAGGTACCCTTAAAAGCTGATTCGAGTTTTTAGCAGAGGTTTTCTTCTCTTCAGCCTTTAGTGCTTATAAGGTGGATTTTTAAACCTGTTTAGCCTTTGTTTTACCATACCTTTAAAAACCTGTTTCCAGTTACCCCAAAGAGTGCATTTAGAGGTATGTATAAGAGTTAAACTCATTAGTTTTCTTATAATATAAAAGCAAACAAAGGTTCATTCTGAGGTGAGTGACGTTGATCTAAATGTGATTATTTGGTGTAAAGAAAGTTGCCCTTCCAGAGGAAATAAACACGGTTCAGGGCTGAGATTTTTATTGGCCTGCTGGTTGGATGTCCAGGTCTCATTTGTGAACCTGTGCTCAGGTGTTTGGTCCCCACAGTGAGCCTCCAGGTAACCCTGCTGCTCTCAGAGTGTGGGCTCACCTGTCGGCCCGCTCTGCAAACACCGCAGACGGCCGAGCTTCATTATCTCCTGCCACCTCCCGTCTCTCCCTCTCTCTCAGTCCATGTAAAAGTGTGGGGACTTGATTATCGGCCCGTGTCGGCGAGCTGTGACCTGCTGGAACCCACCTGCACACACACACACTTACACACTTATACACACACACACACACTCTGTGGAGTCAAATTAAATGACTCAGTCCCTTGTTATTTCCTCACACTTTCAATGTTCCTCTGACACCAGGGGATATACCAGGCAGTTCATGTGTGTGTGTGTGTATGTGTGTGTGTGTAAATGATATTTCCCAACAGTTTCTCTCTTTTTCTTCTGTCATTTTCTTCCCTCTATCCGTCTCTTGTTGATAACCATCGCCGTCTCTGTTTTCTTCGATTCCTTGGTCTGCACCCTTAGAGTCCTTTATTTCTTTCCTTCCCTCCTTCCCTTCCTTCATCTCTCCTTTCTTTCTTCTGTTTTATTCCTCCTTTTCCCCATCGTCGTATCTATAACAACCTTCGCTAAGTTTGCGAATTGCTCTCCTCTGAATACGTAGAAACTTTTCGTCGCTTTTCTGATTTTACCTTCGAAGAACTTTTGAAAGGTCCGTCTCTGATCAGACCTTCGTACCCTGATCTGAAACCCCCCCATCAGTCTGTATAAAACCATAAACGGCTCATAAACCTGAACTCTGGTTCGTCTCTCACATGCTGTCCTCCATCATGAACTCGTGACTCCATGAGCTTGGACCGTGAACTTACTGTCGTTATCTCCTCTGGTGTTTACAGCCAGCTGTGGGCGTGTCTACGAACGTCTGCACCACACAGATGAAGCAGCGCCGCTTTTATCGGAATAATAAATCTAAAAGTCGGAATCATAACGAACTTTTTATTGGACTCACAAATCAGGACACAGCTCAGAGTTTCCTGATCCTGGACCAGGACCCTGGAGTTCTGAGTTGATGTGGACTTAAAACTTTACAAAATGTGAAACAACTTTAAACACGTTTAAAATCCAGATTAACTCTAAAGAGTCAGGGATTAACGGGATTAAAGACGTTTTTACATGAAGTTTGTCTTTAAATCCAAATCTCTCTCTGTCTGTATCTCTAAGTTTGGACTGACAGAAGTGAGAGACGTGAGTTTGACCACAGAAATAAGTCTCATTTCTCTTTTATGGTCAAAAATAAACTCTGACGGAGCGGTAACATGACATCCAGCAGAAACAGACACAATAAAGACAAACAGACGAGGTGATTTCAGTGACTCAGTTTGAGGATTTTTATGATTTTTTTACCCACAATCAGAGACTTGACCACAATCTGAGCTGAGTCAGAAACATCCAAACAGTCGGACTAATAAATGTGATTATTATTATTAGAGTGATTGAAAAGCTCATAACAACATGTAGATCTGTCCAAAGTCTGATTCTAGATGTCTTTACAAACACACTGATCCAACAGAAGCAGACAGAAATATCCATCGATCACATGAACACAAATATTCAGCAAACAGAGAAAGAAACAGATCATCTGAAGAGTTTTTGGGGACGACTGGAAAGACTTTAGACGCTTGGATTTGGGACAGGAAATAAGGTCGTCCTTTTTCTGTGATTTTGACCTCACTTTTTTCTAAAGTCTCAGACCTTCAACATCTGCACCAACTGAAGGTGATTTGAACAAACCATCATCTTGATGTTGTTGATATCAAACTTGATGAAGATTTTTCAACATGAGAAATACAAACAATCAAAGTTCTCCACAATCACTGTCCTTAAAGCTGCGACCAAATCAGCATCTTTAGAAAAGAATCAAAAAGCTGAAATGAAGAACTAAACCCAGAGTTTTTGGTGAGACTGATCCACAAACATTTACAAACCAGAACATTTCAAGAGTTCAAGGATCTCAGTCCATGATTTTGGTCTGATGGACTCAAAATTCTCTTTATTTCAGTTTAATAAACCTAGCAGAGTCTCCATCAGACCAGTAAAACCTCAGTCCAGCATGTAGAGGTTCAGTGAATGTGGTCTGGACTCTGTGGAGGAGAGTCATGGTTTCAGAGGCGCTGTAGAAGGACAGAATACCTGCGCTGTGATCCAGGTACACTCTTACTCTGGAGGACTGAGGACCAAAGACACGAGTGCGAACACTGTTGTGAATAAATTCATACCTGTCTTTATAACAGTCTAACCTCCAAGATTTGTCATTTTCTCCAAATCCACAATCATCTGATTCTCCGTCTCTGCTGATAGTCTTGTATGCGACTGCTACACCAACCCTGACCCCGCTCCGCTCCACCTCCCAGTAACAACGTCCAGTCAGACTCTCTCTACTCAGGACCTGTTCATAATCAGTGAATCTGTCTGGATGATCAGGATAAGACTGTAGTTGTTCTTTAAATGTTGCTCTTCTGTTTTCCTCAGATAAATACAAATATCTGTTTACTGTGTTTGGATCCAGTGTGATTTTTTGGTAATATCTTGAGAAACCAGCTCTGGTCTTGGGTTCTGCTGGTCCTGGTGGTTCTGACAGTAAAACATCCACTTGAGTCACAGCCTGTGAGACGTTTGTCCACGTCTCTGTCAGAAGATCCTGGAGTTTCTCTCTGACCTCTGACACAGCTGCTGTCACCTCCTCAAAGTATCTCAGAGGACGGATGTTGATTCTGGATGAGTCTGCAGGTTGACCCGGTTCTGACAGTGAGGAGTAGCTGTGCAGAAACTGGTTGTGGTCCTCTGTGAGTGAGAGCTTCTGCAGATCAGCGTCTTTCCTCTTCAGCTCAGTGATCTCCTGCTCCAGTTTCTCCTGAAGCTCTTTGACTCGACTCACTTCACGTTCCTGCTGGAATCTGACCTGCTGCTCCACCTCAGAGCGGCGTTTCTCCATCAGACGGATCAGCTGGCTGAAGATCTCCTGGCTGTGCTCCACAGCTTTATCAGCAGAGCCGTTGATAGCCTCCACCTCCTGTTGGAGCAGCTTCACGTCTTCTTCTCTGTCCTGGATTCTCTGCTGGATGTTTTCTCGACTCTCCTCCAGATCTTTCTGCCTCTCAGTCCTTTCTGCTGCAGCTAAGACTGTGTCGTGACCTTTGTGTTGGTCCAAACAGCAGAGAGAACAGATGGACTTCAGATCAGTGCGGCAGAAGATCTTCATCACCTTATCATGAAGAGAGCAGATGTTCTCCTGGAGCTTCTTGGAGGGCTCCACCAGCTTGTGTTTCTTAAATGTAGGAGATTCAAAATGAGGCTGGAGGTGAATCTGACAGTAAGAAACCTGACATTGAAGACAGGACTTGACAGCTTTCAGTTTTCTCCCACTGCAGACGTCACAGGCCACATCTTCAGGTCCAGCCTCAGAGGAACCATCAGGAGCAGCTTGGAGTCCACTCTTCTTCACTTCCTCCACTAAACCTGCTAACATGATGTTTTTTATTGGGACAGGCCTCGTTGTGAAGGTCTCTCTACACTGAGGACAGCTGTAGATCTTCTTCTCATCCTCAGTATCCCAGTAGGATTGAATACAGCTCATGCAGAGGCTGTGTCCACAGGAAACAGTCACCGGATCCTTCAGAAGATCCAAACAGATGGAACAAGAGAAAGACTCACGGTTCAGATGAACTCCTTTCTGCGCCATTTCAACACTCACTGTCGACGACGACTGACTGAGTTTCATTTCCTGAGAAGTCAAACTAGTCCGAGCTCTGATCTCAACAACATGTGTGAGTCAGCAGGATCAAGTCAGCACACGGAGGTTACACCCAACCAAGACTGTAGATCTGAGGGGGAGGGAGCAAGGTAGGGAAGGGAACAAGGAAGTGAGAGTGCAGAGTGGAGTGAGCTGTGAGAGACGAGGGGGGGGAGACAGTTTTTCTACAATCCAGGAGGAGGCGTGTCTCTGTGAACTTTAGACTCTCAAACTCCAACAAGCAGAAGTTCTTAAAGCTGCAGCCGTCCTGAAGATCAACTGAACCAACATTTATTCACCTCATAGAAACCTCATCGAGCAGAAACACACTTCAACTGTTTTAGAGCCTCACAGAGTTAAAGATACAACACAGAGAAACACTCCCTCTCTCTCTCTCTCCCTCTCTCTCTCTCTCTGTCTCTCTTGCGCAATTGAACGTGAATCACCAAGGTTGTGCAAGCTCAGCTGTACTCCTCACTCTCTATACTGACAGCTGTCGTACTGAGGAATGTGTGTCTGAACGTCGTCCTGCCAGACAAGACCAGTACGCTCTAAAGTACTCAGATGATACAGTTTTAATTTCCCTGTGAGAAAGTTCCAGTGATCCTGAACTTACACAGAGTAAACAGGGTGGTTGAATGGAGTGATAACAATGCTCTCGTCATTAACACAAAAAAGACAGAAGAGATTGTTTTTGGTACACCACCAGTGACACACAGATCTCCCGTTACTATTCAGGGTGAACAGATCAACCAGGTATGTTGGTATCAATATCTAGGTAGTAGTCTTTGACCATCTCTTGTCATGGAAAGACCAGATTGAATCAGTGTGTAAGAAAACAAAGCGGAGAATCTACTTCCTTCGCCGTTTAAGATCTTTTGGTGCAAGTAGACAGATCCTTCTTTTGTTTTTGACTTCTGTTATTATGAGTGTTCTTCAGTACTGTAGGACCACATGGTATGGATGTTTGTCTGCAGCCCTAAAAGCACAACTGCTGCAACAACTGAACATTTGCTCAAAGATTGTTGGACAACCACTTCATAGGCGATATACATCTATGTATGACAGACAGCAGTGTCCTGAGGTTAGTAAGAAATATTACCTCAAACACGAGCCATATGTTGTCTGGAGAATATAGGCTGCTGCCCTCAGGAAGGAGATATGGCGTTCCAGCAAACAATGAGGTCAGACTAAAAAGGTCCTTTGTCCATCAGTCGACCTTAAGGCTTAATCAGGAGTTTGGCCAGGGGCAAGAAGGGTGGACATCATATCATATCATATCGATCCACGGGTTCTTGTGAGTTCTCGGGATTCCTGCTGTTCGTAATCCTCCACGAAATTCGCCTCACAAACGGATCCGGTAGGAATTGGCAAACAAAAAACCGCCACTGTTCAAGATGCGGTGAAAATCCCGGGTTGGAGGATCTGGAGAAATCTCTGTACTAAAGGGGGGCAAAGACCAGAACCAAGACTGGATGGTCCTGATCTTCAGGGCATTAAAAACAGACAGGACTCTGGAGTGGAAATCACCGTATGGAGTCTCAACTAAGTCCAGTTGTCCTTTCAGCGAAGAGCTGGAGATCATAGATGCTGCATCCTCAGTTTTAAAGACTAGAGTCCACCAGACTTGGTCTGGGATCATCAGAGTCCATGTCATGGGTATCTTCCACATCTGTGAAGGTTACGTTGATGCTGAACAAGATCTACAGGTTTAGGAGCAACATCTGCGTCCATCCAGACACAGACTTTCACTGTCAGACTCCAGAACCTGGTCTGCTGGGTTCACTAAGGTCTACAGAACCTGGTAAAATGAGTCAACACAAGTTTCAACTTTTGATTTGTTGTCTCTCCTCTGTTTTCCAAACTCTGAATGGAGGAAGTGAAGGGGAACCAAATGGAAGTGACGTCCTGTCCTCCTCCTTCTCCTCTCCATACTGTTGTCACACAAACCCCTCCCCTCTGTGCTCCATGATAACTCCTCCCCTGAACCTGTATCGCCCTCCCCACGACACACCCCCTCTGGCAGAAGATCCTACGCTAGTTTCAAATAGGATTCACCGTGTTGGCCAGCTCTGCTAGCAAGCGCCATCTGCAGCTTTCCCCATCTGTAAATGCAATTCGGGGAGGATAACATGGGTTCGATCATGTGACTTCACAGCTGTGTAGAAAGTAACACCCACGGGCTCTGTCGCACTTCATCTCCGTGGAAAAGAAGGGTTTCGAGCAGAGGCGTTTCATAACCGCTAAGCCGTGTAAAAAGTAGCACCCAGATTTGAAGCAGAGGCTGAAGTTCGGGTTTTTGGCGACTTCCTAAACCCCGGACCATCACTCAGGTTATATCTCATCACTCTGAACATCAGGAGAGCAGCGTTGGACGTGTCTGACGGTGACGTACCGAACCATGAACTCACACCGACACGTCAGGCCTCCGTCGCTCACAGCCCGCTCTCTTTCATTTACAAGCATCCATGTATTTGAGACCTTTTGTCCTTTCTCTTTCTTTCCCCCCTCGGAGCGATCCAATCGCCCGGTCTGGATTAGCATGTGAGAGAGAGAGGAGGGAGAAAGGAGAGAAGGAGGCGAAGAAAGGAGAGAACGAGGAGGAGAGAGGAGGCGATGGAGGGAGACAAAAGTCCAGCTGTGAGATGAACGTGGGATGAACGGAGGAAGAATGAAACGGATCTTATCTTTTCGCTGAGAGAAACTTCCAGAGCGCCGCCCGGGTTATTACCATGTAAATCACACACACTTACGCATAACCTCGCCGCCGCCGCCATCCTCACACACACACACACACACACATTCAGTGCGATGTTGCACAAACACAAACCGCAGCGGCACACACTCCTTTGACTGCGTCTGATTGGATGTTTTTCAATGAAGTTGGCTCCTGCCTGGTATTTTGATGAAGTTGGTTATTTATTGGGCGATGAAATTAAGTTAATTGCTTATTGGTATTTTAATTAAGTTTCTTTCTTCGTGGGTGTTTGAGTGATTTTTGGAGTATTTATTGGTATTTTAATGAAGTATTATTTGGCGGCAGACTCAGTGGGAGAGCAGCTGAACAGGCATACACACAGCAGGTGGCCCAAAACACACACATACATCACACACACACACACACACACAGGAACACACACATGTAGATGTATGCACATGCCGTGCAGACATCACACACGTGGAGTTACTCTGAACGAAGCACATGAGCAGATATCACCGACGCGCTCATACATGTGAACCGGACCTGCTACCTGGGATACTCACGGACGTTAATGATGAAGTTATTTTCCTCCAATCACGTCAGGCGGCTGATTAATTAACTCTGATTGGAGAGTGTTTGATTAAAAGTTGACTGAGTCGCAGGGAAACGTGGTTATTAGTGGAAATGTGTGTTTGATACTCGATTCCAGCGGCTGATTGAGCTTCAACACCAACAAAGATATCAGGGATACTCGAAATAAGTCAAGGTTAGGAGAGTTTAAAGATTCATTTGTTCTTTTTTTTCTGGTTTTCTTTCTTTTTTCTTCAGAACTAGAACAAACCAAAACGTCGGAATGTTAGGAAATCGTTTAAAATCAATATTTCATAAAAAATGGAGCAAAAGCAGCAGATCCATGACGCAATATTCTTGACTAGGACCAAAACCAAGACCTGCATTTAACACTTCGAACTCTGCTGGATCTCTGGCGATCCCACATCACACCATTAATATAGTTTACAGTTTCTCAGGAACTATACATGACATGGTCTCATATTCTTCTTCTATTGTTCCCTTGACGGTAGTGTCCAACAAGAGACAACAAAGTTCCCTGCTTGTCTGTAAAATCAGAAATAATGGTTCTCAATGTTTGGAAACAAGCGAAGAAGAAATAGTCAAAAACTCCTGGAAGAATGAGTGTAAATATGTCAACAGTTTCTGTTGTGTGTTTGTTCCAATCCCAATATTTCTTCTCCTGATAGACTTGAGAGAATGATGTTCAGGTGAGAAAAGGCTTGGTCACTGTAGATTTATGTTTTTTTTTTAAACAAAGTTCTGTTGGGATCAGTTTGTTTTTGTTTTTTTGTTGACTTTGATGGTTCTGAATCTACTGTCACATTTATTTTACTTCAGTTTTGACATCTGAAAATAAAGAGATGTGTTTATATTTGCGGTGATTGAAAGGATTTACTAAAGAGGTTACTGAAACTAAACTGGTGTTCATAGTGATCCAGTTCTTCGTTGACGGGGTAACTGGACCTCCGAGAGACTGGAGCCGACAGAGAAACATCTCTAGGAGGTCCAGTTACCCTGTCAACGATGAATCCTGGACTCTCAGCTCCCAGTCCAAGTCCAGCATCCCTGATGTCCACCTCATGAGTATCTCCTTCCACGTCCTGCAGGGATTGTAGAAATATGTCGCCTAGAAAAGAACAATCTAAAAATAAGAAAAACCGAAGAGTCTCCTGCTGTTATCACCACTTTGTTGGCTTTTGCATCTACAGTTAAAGTGTGACTTTACACACACACACACACACACACACACACACACACACACACACACATACACACACGCTGAAAGGTCTGTCAGCAGCAGCCGCTCAGGGTTACGGGTTCAACTCGCCGTCAGATCAGAAAAATGAGCCGCTATTCTCCGTGTTGACTTGAGGTCACTGGAGGCTTCTGGGTAGTGAGACAGGACGCCGATGTCACACACACACACACATATATATGCACACACACATACTGGAAGCTGTGAGAACCTTTTCTTGTGGCCTCGAGGTGTCAGGAGCGCCCATCAAACCACCAACAACTAATTATTACCTTCCTCTCCTTTCTCACCGTGTGAGTGAGTGTGTGTGTGTGTGTGTGTGTGTGTGTGTGTGTGTGTGTGTGTGTGTGTGTGTGTATTGGCCCCCGGGGTCCGTTAGTGTACATAATGGCTTTCTGAAGAGACTGTCTGTTTGTAAAGACGTTTGATTGACATCTTCTGATGTTTCAATCCAATTAGAGAGAGAGAGAGAGAGCGAGAGAGAGGTCCATTGTGCCAATGAGTGTGTGTGAGTGTGTGCGCATGTGTGTTATCAGACACAAATGAGGACAAATGTGTGTGTGTGTCTGTAAATGTTGTGATGATTATTTTGTGAAAAACTGAAATATTTGCTGTTTTTATGCATTTCACTTTTTATTATTTTAAAAACATTGAAGTGAATTTATTTTAATCTCACTGTCAGTGTGAACACAGCATGCTCTCTGACAGACGTGACTTTAAACATGATAAAACACTCGTGTCTGTTTTGATTCAACTTAGATGAAAATCTATTTTCAGAATATCATGAACGTCTTACTTCAGTAAACTGCGATGAACTCGTTTAATAATTTAGAATTTTTGTAAAATTTAATGTTCAATTTTTGTGTATAAAGAGCAAATTTTACCAGTCAGATTACTCATAAAATAAAAACGATAATTCTGAAATAAACAAAAATATGAGGAAATTTTAAAAAAGTTAAAGAAATTATCATTAAATTAAAGCAGAAGAAAAATAAATAGATAAAAATAAATCTAAATAAAAAATTATAAATACTAAAAAAAAGTCCTAAAAAATAAAATAAATTTAAATTCTAATAAATATCTGATAATTAATAACACAAATTAATAAATAATAAAAACATGAAAATAGTAAAATATAAATATGAAATGAAAATAAGCAGTATTCTGATAATTATAATAATAATTTACAAAGTATAGAAAAAATGTCATTTTAAAAAATACTGCAATATTCTGAAAATGTATTAGTAAGGATATTTCTATAATATTTAATAATAAATAAATAATTTCACGTTATGAAGTTATGAATCACTAAATAATTTTAATAGTTATTTTATTGATAAAATTAAATTCTTTAAAAATGATAATTTTCACAACAGCAATGTGACACTGTGGGGTTACTGTAACAGAGTATTGAGTCTGATTAAAAAAATAATGTAAAAAAAACAAAATTAAGTACTTCACACAAGTATACATACTGTACATACGAACACATATACATACATACATATATATTTATATATATAAAAATATACAGTTCAAACACTTAATTTAGATTCATGTGTTTAATCAGTTTATATTGGAGTGTGGTTTAATAAGAACTTTCAGGTTTAAAGGATTTTACTGCACACACACACACACACACACACACACACACACACACACACTCAAGGTCTTCTATTCAGCCTGAGTAACAAAGCCCGGGGCCTCAATCCAGCATGTCTGAAAGAAAAACACTCTGAGTGTGTTTTATGAGTGTGTGAGTGTGTTTTCTTGCTGTGTGTGCGTTTGTGTGTGTGTGTTTTGTACTTGTGTGTGTTGCACTAACAAGGTCCAGGCCTCAGCATGATGACGATCTTAACGAGCTGTCTGTCACTCTTCAGCTCTCAGTGCAGATCTCTGTGTCATTAATGACTGTGTGTGTGTGTGTGTGTGTGTGTGTGTGTGTGTGTGTCTGTGTGTGTGTGTGTGTGTGTGTCAGAGGTATAAATGGAATAATGTCTCAGCAGGACAGAAAAAACATTTAGTCTCTTTTGGCGCCACAATGTCAAGGTTTCTATGGCTGCTTTCTGCTTCTGTGAGTGTGTGTCATTATCTGTGTGTGGGTGCGCATTACGAGTGTGTAAGTGTGTGTGTGTGTGTGTGTGTGTGTGTGTGTGTATGTGTTATTATTTGTGTCTGTTAGGTGGCAGCTGCCCAATCCCAAAACTGCACAATTTCAGCAGCCACAGTGGATGCTGAGAATAACAGAACAGACCCTGTTGTTTGGGCTCTGCCTCCTGTTTTCTTTTTGACATCTATGACATGGCGTGGTTTTTTTCCCATAATGCATTGCGCACGGCTTATAGTATTCGGAGAGGAGGGATCAGGTGCAGAAAAGCTTTCCTATCTGGAAAGAAAGACTGTGCAGAAATGGACTGTTTTCAGACAATAAGGTGCGAAAGGTGCGCCTTGCTGTTCAAAATGGACCCAACCAAACCTCATTCAAAAAAACAAGCATTTTAAGAATTGCATCTTTGTAATCTTGCGGACAGACCTTACAAAGTGTACAATCAAATGTTCTACAAATCTGTATCTGTATTTTGCTTGATTGGCAATGTTTGAACTCATTTATGGACCCAACCAAACCCCATTCAAAAAACAAGAATTTTAAGAATTGCATCTTTTCAATCTGGTGGACAGACCTTACAAAGTGTACAATCAAATGTTTTAGAGAACTGTATCTGTATTTTGCTCGTTTGGCAATGTTTAAACTCATTTATTACAAATTAAACACAAAAAAATGAGTGTCAGTGAGAGTCATTGGGGGTGTTTGCTGCTGCTCTCCCTGCCTCCTGCTTTTACTGGTGTTGACGCCTCTCTGTTTTGTTACCCAGGGGTCTTTGCTGCTGCTCTCTTGACCTTGGCATGGGATGTTTGGACATTAAAAAGGTGCACTCTCCCCACCCCAGACTTAGACACCCTCCGTACGCATGTGGACAAACCAAAAACTCTTTAAAATACGTGTTTAAATATTTTTTGTAAATTCAGGCCAGCCCTTGTCTGTGTGTTTGTCGTCAGCTCACTGGCCCTGGATCATCGGCACCGTTGCCATGGTTACCTGCATGACAACATATGTTGATCTTGACCTCAAACAGATGAAGAGTTCATATACGTGAACTAAACCCGCTGTCCAATCAGACGCCAAAACACACCGAGCCTTTGGTTCAGTGTAAGATCAACTCTGTGAAACAAAGCATGGTGTGTGTCGTGCATCTCTGTGTGTGTTTGTGGGTGGCAGTGTGTGTGTGTGTGTGTCCTTTGCTGCGCCGCAGTGTTGTCGTTGATGTCAGGCTGTCGGTGTAAACATCAGCCTTCAGCTACAGCTCACTGAAGCAGAAAAACACACACATGCTCACACACACACAAACACACTGCAGTGGTGACACCTCTGCCGCTGAGTGTTTGTGTGTGTGTCACTATATGTGTGTGTGTGTCACTATTTGTGTGTTTGTGTGTAGCTGGTTGAATCAGCTCCTTCACACTCTGGGCATCAGCTGTCCTGGTGGGAGTCACTGAAGTTCGTGCAGAAACAACAAACACACACATGAATAAGTCAGACCCACAACTACACTAAACAAACCAGCGCAGTCTGCACCGTCACGCAGAGAGACAGACATTAACCAGGCTGTGTTTGGACTGGGAGAAAGACTGGGAGCACTGGTTAAAGCACTGGGAGCGTGACTTTGTCCAAGTACAGTCAATGACACGTTTATTTTGGTGTCTTGGCAGAAACAATGGAACCAAATCCAGCAACCTGACGCCGTGACATTTCAGGAAGGCGTGCAAAGTCACCGCATCGTTAAAAGCGTTCCAGTCACGGAGCAAGAATAGTTCCACTGAGTCATATTCAGCGACAACATAGTTCGCGGTCACTGAACCCTCTGATGTTCAACAAGAAATAGTTCCACTAATTGTTCCGACCATTGTTCGGAGAGATGGTTCTGGAGTTCAGGAGAAGTCCGTCAGTCCAGCAAATTTCTAACACAAACAAGGTCGTCAAACAAAGATCGACCAGACACACGAAAAATGGAAGACATCGTATTCACCGGCCTAAAGTATCGGTCACTGTGCAGGTAAATGTTGTTGTTGCACCGACTGGAAATAGTTCCTCTCATATAGGGACGGTTTATCACCTCCTGATGTTGAAAAAAAAAACATTATTCAGCTGTTGCACAATTTTTTTAAATGCACCAACTGTTGATTTCAGTATAAGTCATTCTGAAACTTGCACAGACTGATTTGGGCCACTGCACCAGCTTTTGTTCAACCAGAAACAGTTCCAGTCGTTGCACCAACCGCTGCTGACCAGAAACAGTTCCGGTCGATGCACCAGCCGCTGTTTGAAAACACACTTTAGTCATGAACCTGCTTCTGTTATTGCACCAGCTGTTTCTGATCGCCAACTCGCCAGCGTTCTTGAGCAAGAATGCAGTTAATGCACCGACCAGCACCAGATATGATTAAACAGAAGGAGTTTAAAACCCAATTAGGAGGAATGCTTGCACTGGGATTTGTTGAACCAGGAATGATTTATGTTTTTGCACCCACTGCAGTCAAGTACAAACTATTTATGGCCAATGCACCGACTGACAACTGGAGACAATCTGTTTGTGAATCCGTTGTTGTAAACTCAAGAATGGTGTCAGTCATTGTACAGAGGGTTAGGGTTAAGGCTAAAACCTAAAATCTCGTGAGATCTCGTCCAGTCTTGCGAGAAATATCAGTAACCTTGCAAGCACTTCTCCTCTGATGGCGGAGGCGGATCGGATCCAGTGGGCGCTGTGTGCTTGCGTAACTGATTTGCCTGCCGGTCCAGAGCGGAGCCGTTCCAGATCCAGTTGGATTCCCGGTTAGGGTCATCTTGAACTAACTTCCAGAAGGACTTTCAGCTGTTGCACTGACTGCGTTGCACCAACTGTTGGTTAAATAAAGACCGCTTCTGACTTTTTCTTCATAGTTTTAACTCAAAATATTTCTGGTCTTGCATCAACAGTGAACAGTTGAAATGAAATAGTTGATGCATCGTCTAAATCTGGAGATGCACTTTCCTGCTGCAGTTTTATAGCTGCAAACTCATGTGAGTTTTAGACTTACCCCCAACTTCCACCTTCATCCTGATCGTCTCCTAAAAGGTCGTATCCTCCGATCGTAGCTGATCATAACCATTCAAGTTAACGTGTCAATTTACACCGACTTCTTTCCGTTCCTCTGCGGATCGCCGGACTCCTCAGCTGATCACGAGTTCTATTTTTTCTGGACGCCGGAGCATGGCGGATAAATTCAGCACAGATTAACCCGTGCTGGAAAGGAAGTCGGGCACAGACACAAAATAAAACATCCGGCACGTGAATCTGCGGGTTCTCACGATTCCTGCTGTCTGTAATCCACCATGAAATTCGCCTCACAAACGGATCTAGTAGGAATTGGCGTACGGCGAAAATCGCTGCTGTTCCTGATGCGGTGGAAATTCGGGGTTAGCCTCATGTTTACAAACTGAACTATGTACACGGCAGTAAACATCCTTTCAATGAGAAAAAAGTGTTTTTTTTAATAAAACTCCTTCTATTGAACGTGAAATGTGATTTTTGTCCGATAGCTTAGCTCCTGTTTCATCATTAAATTTTAAAGTTTCACCTCACCGTCTGTGGCTGCAGGTCAAAGGTCGCGCCAAAGGGGCCTTTTATTCATCTTTTAGCAGGAAGCTTCACATGAATTATACATGACATACACACAATCTAAACATATAGGCTTTTAGCTCATATATATAAACGGCACATATGGACGGACTCATCCGGAGCGGGTTTATTCATAAAATCAGCACAGAGGCTAATGACGCATCAATATTGATGAAGGTTATTCTAAAAAGCTGAATCACTGATTTAGTTATTTTCATCATGAATATTTCAGTCATGTTTTCATTAATGCACCGGGGTTTCTCTGCAAGTATAATTCAAGAAATTAAATTACAAAGCGGTCATTATCATTAAACAAGAAGGCGCGTGTTTAACTCCATGAAAGGGTTCATCCGCCGCAGAAAGTAGTCCCTGAGAGTGTCAGATTTCATCCTGGGTGCATCTGGAGCCTTTTAAAAACATGAAATTATATATTTGAGAGTTTTTTTTTTCAAAGACTCACATCTCTGAGAGGAGCCAATCAGCTTTGAGGAAGAAATCATGAGAAATAATGAGGTTTTAAGAGGCAGACTCCCTTTTTTCCTCCCCCTTTTTCCACTTCTCCCCCTGCCGCCTCCCCATCTTATCTCCTTTTACCCCTCTCTCCTTCTCTTCCATTTTCGCCTTTCTTTTCCTCCTTTTTCATCTTTGCTGTAATTTTCTATCGCACAGCCCTCCCTTACCTGCACCCTTCACCCTCTCCCTCTTTTCCTCACCCTCGTCTCCTCCTTCCTTTCATCTCTCTCCTCATTCCTCTCTTTGCTCTATCGTTGATTTTCACTTCTCTCCCCTACATCTCTTCCTTTCTCTCCTTTCCTTCTCCCTTACCTCTTTCCTTTCCTCCTCCCTCGTCTCTCTCTGCCTCCCCCCCTCTCCCCTCTCCTCCCCCCCGGCTGTTTTTTTTCTTCTGCTCAGAGTTTGCGTGCCGTTTTAGAGTGTTTTCATCGATGTCGAGACCTTGCTATCAAACATGACTGCCTCTGCTCTAATTCACCCCCAGGACACCACACACACACACACACACACACACACACACACACACACACACACACACACACACACACACACACACATACTTGAATGAACAGTTACACACACACACTCACATTCCTTCTTTATGCACACAAACACACTTCCATACTCTCTCACACACACACACACACACACACACACACACATGAATGAACAGACAGGTCTACAAACACACTAACACACACACACACACGTGCAGATATTACTATACTTGTAAGGACACTGATTTCGTGACATTCCTGTACGATCCCAAATTTTAACCTCATACTGAATTTATATTTAATATAATATTTTTCACAAAGTTACAGATGATTTTTTTTGTACTAACATGATTTCTAATTATATGAGTAACGTGTCAGAGGAGCTCGTCGACTAAAAAAGGAGCTCTGAAAGTTTATTTTCACTTTTGAACACGTGGAGCAAAATGAGGAGCTGCAAAAAAGTTGAAACAATTAAAAATATTAAGGAAATTTTAGCAAAATTTATGACATAGAAGCAAAATTCAGTATACGAGTTAAATAACTTTAGGATTCACATAACCTCAAATGTTGAAAAAAAGATATTTTTTCCTGATAAAGAATTTAATTGTCAATATGACCAATGTAACAATGTTTTACCTTTTATTTTTATTCATTATTTATTTGTTTGATAATTTGAATTTATTTATTATTTTATTTTGTGGTACATTAAGAAGTGATTACTCTGTATATTTCTTAACTTTTTTAATCTTTTCAATTTCTTTATATTTTTAATTTTAATTGTTGATTTAGTTTCTTTGATATTGATGATCTCCTAGTGATTTATTTTCTTCTTATGTGTTGATTTTTTGTTTTTCGTCTGTTTTTTTTTTTATTTATACTATTATTTTTTCCTGTCTGTTTTTCTTTTATTCTTTAAATTTCAATTATTTCTCTTTTGTAATTTTGTTTTTTTGGTAGTTCATTATCTTATAGGGGGTATTAATTGATTAAATTTCTATTTTCTCTGGAATTTTAATATTTTAGCGTTACTTCTGGTATCTCGTGATAATCTCATGATAGCTTTTCTCAGTTCCTGCTGAGTTTTGTTTTTTATTTTCATGTTATTATTCAAGGTTAAACCTTCTGCATTAATCAGGGTTTTAATTGTGTTTATTGATGTTAATTTTATGAAAATTTTTTATGCTTCATTTTGTTTTATAAAAGCTGCTCCACATACAACATCTGATGGATTTAATTTAAAAAAACTGACAACTACAGGTTTGTTATCACACTTAGATTTGAGATTTTTAAGAACAGAGTCGTGAAAATAAAGGTAATTTACGCTAAAATAACTAGACAGACTAAATGATAAGCAAAATAAAAACATAAATAAAATTTACACTGAGTGAAAAAGGTTATAAAACCAAAACAAAAAAGCAAAAAAATTGTTTAATTTTGTTCTAATTTGACTCATTTCATAGATCGTCCCCATTTTTCTGTTTGAGTTTACATCATACGGTCCTCACAAGTTTAGATACTCAAGAGCAACACACACACACACATACTGACAGGATGGTGAGGAAAATTTCTTTACACGCAAACACACACACTTTACTCCTCAGACATACACGTGAACGATCCGTGACCCACACACACACGTGCACTCACACACACACACACACAGACACACACACACGGTGAGTGTGTTTAGCCCTCTGTGTCACAGGCTGTGAATTTAATATTGATTCCATAAAGTAGTTTCAGTGTAACATGTCACAGCACGTTAACGTCAGAGCAGCCAGCCGCACGGAGAGCAGAGCAGCTAGCACGCAACGCTGCGGGACAGAAGGGGGGAGGAGCTAGGGGAGTGGCTTTGGGAGGTCCGAGGAGGAGCTACAGGGGAGGACGAAGAGGAGAACCAAGAAGATGAATGAGCTGAGGAGGAGGAGGGAGGAGCGAGGAGGAGGGAGGAAGGGAAGGAAAAAACGAGGCAGAAGAGGAGATGAATAACAGGAAAGGATGGAAGGAAAGAGGGAACGTTTATGAGATGAGGAGGAAAGGTAAGGGAGCAAGGATGAGTAGGAAAGGAAAAAAGTGAGAGATCCATGAGGAAAGGGAAGAGAAAGAGGGACAGGAAGGCTGAAAAAGGATAGGAGACATTATAAAGTAAAGAAAAGGATGAGAAAAAGAGAAAAGTAAAGGAAAACTGAGGGGGGAAAGTAGAAGATGAAGAAAATAAAAGAACAGGTAAAAGGAAACACAAGAGAAGGTAAGGAAAGTTCGAGAAAGGAAGAAAAAGGAGGACACGAGAAGGTAAGAAAGGAGGAATGGAACAGACGTGAAATGATAACGGGAGGAGATGATGTGTTAAGGAAAGGAGGAGTTTTAGTAAGGAGACGATGAGACGTAGGGCTGCCTTTAAAGACTCTAATCTTTTACATAATTCCATTTATTTTATCGAGTAAAGTTCATTTCAGAGCACATGAAGGGGACAACATGAGGACGACAACTACCGAAGTTTCGTGTGCAGAAAATTTTGAGTATCTAAAAAATATGACATTGAATATTTACTTTTTTGACCAGCTGTTCGTGACCCAACCAGAACATGTCTGTGACCCACTGTTGGGTCCGGACCCACCAGTTGAGAACCGCTGATATAAAGGAGAGAGGAAGGGAAGGAAACGAGGAAGAGGAGGAGTGATGGTCTGCTGATATACAAAGAGTCAGAGCCTGAGGGAGTACACACACACACACACACACACACACACAGAGTACAGTCACTCAGCAATGTTTGACCCCACTGTAACCAGGTCAGAGGTCAGAGGTCACGTCGGGTTCAACTGCTGCCAGACAAACAACACAGACATGAGATTAACACAACATCACATGACGCTGATCCTGTGTGTGTGTGTGTGTGTGTGTGTGAGTGTGTGTGTGTGTGTCTCACAGTGTGGGCCCACCCACTGTGTGTGGACTCACTGGACTGTTTCTGGACGTTTTCAGGCGTGAAATTCTGGAAATACTGAACATTTTTGGCTTCAAACCGTCTGGACTTTAAAACATGTGATCCAGAACCAGAATCCAGTTTGACTTTAGACTCTAGAACAGAAGAGGAACTGAGTTTGGGACTTTATTGTAAAGATGAGGTTGAATTGTTCCTTCTTCATCTTCTTGAACCAACCTTGGATTTAAGAGGAAAAATCATGTCCGTAGAAAAGAAACTGCAGGAATAAACTCCTGACATCCACACCAGGAGTCTAAAGTATAATTTCCACCTTCATCCTGATCGTCTCCTAAAAGGTCGTATCCTCCGATCGTAGCTGATCGTAACCATTCAAGTTAACGTGTCAATTTACACCGACTTCTTTCCGTTCCTCTGCGGATCGCCGGACTCCTCAGCTGATCACAAGAGTTCTATTTTTTCTGGACGCCGGAGCATGGCGGATAAATTCAGCACAGATTAACCCGTGCTGGAAAGGAAGTCGGGCACAGACACAAAATAAAACATCCGGCTTCTTTTCAAAATAAAACAACAGACAAGTGAAAGGTTTTTAGACGTCATTTCACCCCGATGACACCATGGATGAGGAGATGCTGATTCTAGAAGTCTAGAAGTGGATTTCCTCCTCTGGAAGGACACAATCTACTGCTTATATGTCTACGTGTCTGTCTTTAAAGAGACAACTCGTTATCGCGCGTAGGAACGTGAAACCACGGGTTCTTGTGAGTTCTTGCGATCTCTCCTGTCCATAATCCGCCACGAAATTCGCCTCAAGAATTGATCCAAGAAGTCGAGTCTCAGGACTGGATGTGTAGTATGTTCATGTCCAAGACGTGACAGCCAATCAGGTATCAGCAGTCTGTGGCGTCTGCAGGAAGATCCTGACACTTTTTCTTGAGATCGTTGAGATTGATCGAACTTTTCCGAGATCCCAAGAAACTCAAGATCACTGAAAGCTCCTGACAGGCCTTATTGATGTCCTGAGAAAATCCCTTGAAGTCCTAAAAGTTATTCTCAAGATCCCCAAAACCCTTTTTTTTCCAGATCCCAACTTCTCAAGATCCTGTGAAAGTCTCTGGAGATACTACAAACATCTCAATATCTAAGTAATCGTTCTTGTAATCTGAGTAAGTTTCTTTTAAAGCCCAACAGAAATGTCCCAATGTCTTACACTCAGTAAATCGCTCTAGATCGCTCCTCCGCCGGTAATAAAAAACTTGCGCATTTGTCCTTTAATTTGACGGTTTTCATGTTAAAAAGGAGCCGAGCGCGTTAACTGTGTGGAAGTATCATTTAAGGACATATGTATCTTACACCGCGTTTTCTGGGTCAGATTTTCCTGCTGGGGTTTCAGCTCAGTCTGAGGTCTAAATTCATGTCGACAACACACACTCACACACACACACTCACACTCACACACACACTCACCACGCTCAGTGATGGAGATGTTGTTTGACAATCCGGGTGAACGAGGGCGGAGAAGAGACGGTCTCTCTCTCTCCTGTGTCGACTGTCTGCAGCAGCATGTTGTTCAACACTGAAACAGGAAATGCTCGAGGTAAGCGTGTGTGTTTACGGTGTGTGTGACAGCTTCAATGTGTGTGTACAGTGGACGTCTGTGGTATTCATATGTGTGTGTGTGTGTGTGTTTACAGAAAGCATGAGGAATGATAGGAGCGTGCAGACGTGAGGAGCTGCTCAGATCAGACTGACTGTCAATATTGTCATTTATTTACACTTTATTTACACTCTCACTATTTTAAATTAAGTCACTTTTATTATATATAAGCTGACAGTGGATATATATATGTGTGTTTGTGTTGTTGGCTAAATGATCGACCTGTAATATGAATAAATATGACAAGTTTCCTACGTTATACTCCACTCCAAACATGCCCGACTATCGGAGGAGTTCTTCCTCGGTGTAAACATCCAGGTCTGTGGTTTCTGTCTGAACAGGCTCTAAGTGAAGATAAATTCTGTTTGTGTGTATTTGTGTGCGTTCGCATGTCTGGAGCCAATGAGGTGAAACTAAGGCCACCTCTCTCGTCTCCTGGTACCTCGTCATCCCGCCGCCGCCGTATAAATCATTCAGTGTAAATCAGACAGCAGAGAAACAGACGAACACTGTGAGGATGAGCTGACGCAGCGACACCTGTAACCTGAAGAAGAGGTTTAAAGGACCAAAAGGAGACAAAACAGGTTGATCTGTTTAGGTTTTAACGCTGTTTTACCTCGCTTAGTTTATCTGAACGCTGAGTTACTGACGACTGAACCACCATGGGGCTCACAGTCACCTTCAGAGGATCGCCACGCTGACGAGCTATCACCTTGAGGTCACCTACTTTTCCACTTTTTTGAAACAGTATTCATAATAACTGACGAGGTACTAAAGAGTAATCTGACTCTAATTAGTTCAATCTATTTTAGACACAAAATCAACCTGTCCTCACACGAGGTTTCAGCTCCTGTCAATCACCGTCCTCTTCAGTGGCGCACATTTTTCTGACTTCTCGACTGAGTATGATTGACAGCCAATCATGCCAAAGTCACTCAAACTACGACTGGATGGAAACGTCACATGGTAAAAGATGCCTTCAGGGTTCGCAAATAAAAAACTGAAGGCATCGAGACAGTCCTGTTGCAGCACACGAAACTGTCAAAGTATCGTACATTTAGCCTTTTTCCTGGGTAATTGATCGTACATCGTACAGACATCGTAACTTTGGTAACTTTGTATCACAGTGACTCAGAGCGGCGGGTCGACCATATCGCTAATTCACGTCGTTTGCATCTTCACGATGACCTCACATGAGAACACGACATGAATGACATCACGGAACTCCAGATCAAAGAGAAGATGAAGAGAAACAGAACGGAACTCTGACTCAGCATTAAAGGAACATTCCGTGTTCTGATCATCAGCGGACCGTTAAACCAGCACTGATGCTGCGTTCAAGGTTCCTCAGGATTTAGATGTCCAAGCTGGGAATGACGTCCCCCCTGTGTTCTCAATGTTTCGGTTACCAAGTAAGAATAAAGCAAAATCAGAGGCGGAAACAGGATGGCTACATCTCGTCTCAACTCAATTTTATTTGTAGAGCACTTTAAAACAACCACAGCCGAACAACTATGAACATCTACGAAAGTTATTTCAGCGTTTGTTTTAGTTATTTTAAGTTATTTTAGCATGTCCTTTCGTAGATGTAGCCATCTTGTTTTGCTTTTTTCCAACTTGTTAACTGAAACGCAGGTAACTCGAGTGTGATGTTATTCCCCGCTCCGATATCTGACTTCCGAGGTAACTCAAACAGGTCGTTCATTGACGTGATGTAAATTTGTGCAAATAAGCCGCTTAATTCGCATCACAGATCTAATCTCATCTTCTCATTAACTTATGTAGCCCCCTCACTCAATTCCTAATTTCTTTTTTAAATACTATTACCTACCGGATCATACACACAGTATTTTGCATGGGAGAGGAATTAGTGATGCTACAAAATATAAACCAGGGAACTGTGTCATGTGTCAGTGTGAGTGTTAAAATATTTCTTAATACCCGGAATTTTATAAATCAGTCTGTGGTACCACGTACGTTGGCGCGCTGTTGGAGCTCTTGTGTGGGTGTGATTTCCAAGTCGTTTGTACTCACGGTTCCTTCAAATTTAGTGTGTTGTTATAACCATCATGGACGCACAGAATGGAAGAAGGAGAGAGTCGGTCCGCGTGCCGAACTCCCTGGGCGCGGGACCTCTACTGTCGCAGCACGAGCGGCCAGTATCCGAAGCACACTGACAGCACAAAAAAACAAAACTTCACATACACATACTCACTCACAACGTGTCTGAGGTAACAATAAGCAGTCTGATACTCACTCAGGAACTTGAAATTAACACCCGACCTCGCACGTGCATCCTGACTCCAGTCTTCCTCTGCTCCTTCACCGTCGATGCTAGTCAGCTACCAATTTAGCATATAGCACATTTACGAACCTCGCCGAATCTACCAACGACACTCACCCGCACGTCTCGAATTAACCACACCCCCCCGCCGCGATCCAACACACCGAGCCTCAATCCTGTTGGGTCTTCGTTTAACACTTAACAAACGAAAGAACAAACTTTCACACGATTATTTCGGCTTCTCTCGGCATCGCTGGAGCATTTTCCGCTCTGTCAATCACCGCTTCTCTCACCGACATGAAAACCCCGCCTTCCCAAAAACTGACAGGTCCCACTCCTCACCCAAACTTGACAATGATTTGCAATACGCTCGTGACGCCTGTCAATCACGCAATACAGGGACAACCGGACATGAGGCGTTCAAGGTCTGCCTCAACTGCGGGATATTTGAAAACTTTAACCAAAAAATTACATTCCTGAGATTATGAGGCGATATCTTACATCATCAACAAGAAAAATAAGAGCTATCACAGAAACAAACAACTTTAAGAATTAACTCATAATTTACTCTCCTTAATGACGCGACACCACAACACATTTACATCCTACTCGCTCCGTTTGCTTCGTTCCCAGAGTGAGTTTCTGTATTTTTGTCACGTTCAGTGTGAATCTGCAGACTCATATTGTTACGTTTGACTTCTTGACGGTACAATCTGTCCGGGGGAATTCATTTAGATTTGATTATCTCCAAGAATGAGGCGTTATTATGGGCGTGGCTAAATGGACGAACAGGTTGGTGTGTCGTAGCCGTTAGCTCGATGGCGAGACCTCAGCTGGAGTTCGCGTTTCTAATCTGATCTCTTCAGACAGCAGCAGGTGTTTTATGATTCAGACAGGAGGTGACAGACAGTATCAGACTCCTCCTGGAACAACCTTTATTTATATTTTTAACAGCAAAGGTTTTTTTAATGTGACGTATTTGACCTCTAAAAGAAGAAAGGTTAACTGACGATTCTTCAAATGAGCCGTTTGAGGGAAACTCTGTGGTTATAGGAGAATATGTGACCTCTACTGCAGTTTGACATTTGAAATAATGATCCTAAAATCTCAGAAAGCTGTCGGGTTGAAGTGTTTGTTTTATCCTGAACTTTAACTCAACAATTATCATGATCTCTGAGATCTTTATCTGAAAAATAAGTGATTTCTGCGCCTGATCCCGACCTGGCAGAGACTTTATTTGAAGCCTTTAACACGGCAGCCTGGCCGCTCAATTACTCAAAGCTAATTAAACACATGGTACAAGTTAAAAAAGCCCGGTCCTCGGTGTTTTCAAGTTAATCAAATCTGTCCATAAATGTAAAAAGTGTGGACTCGGGGTCTGAGTTCAGCTCTCAAAGCTCACAGCCGCTGCCTCTGTCAGCTCCATCACTAAGAGGCTTTTACCACAGCGAAATGATTACACACTAACTCTGTCTGTATAATTCATATTTCACACCACTAAATGACTCACGTTTCAACACTGTTTGACACCTGAAACACTCTCCACAATGACTCAAATTTTACACCTCAAACTCCCGTCCCACAAAGCTGCCGTCGCTCCTCCCTAATAATG